GGTGAAATATTGGTCTGCCATATTGCAGGAATACCACTGGAATATATCTATATCCTGACTGGACGTCGCTTCGACAGCTGCAACAGGATCAATGTCAGGCACGGAGGTATCTCAGCTGCGGAGCTATCTCACGTGCATTGTATGCTGCCAAGCCAAGATAGCGGGCGACGGTCGCGGTGAATGTCTGACCCACATCTGATCCCCCATCAAAAAATGAAAAAAAGGCCAATTTCGATCATGGATATCTCGCGAAATAAAAGCCTATGCAAGCTCTAAATTGAAGGGAGGGTAGATTAGCAACCGCAATACAACATCTGAAAGTTTGGGATTGATCGGAGCTGATAGTCCCTCTTCAGTCGCCGTGGTTGAAAAGCTCCAGTCACCGTGGTCCCCACTTATTTTCTCCCATAGTTAAGATAGAACCCTAAGCTCCAGTCTCCGTGACTGAGACCACCCCCGTGGGATAGGGTAGCTTTAGGTTAAGACAACTTGAGTTAAACCCCTAACAAGTGAAACCTTAAATGACCTAGTTTTGTATAATAAGTAAGTTAAATAGAGTAACTAATGCGGTTTAGTATTATTTTTATCAAAAAGCATGAAAAATAAATATATATTCAAGCATCCACAGCTTAATTTCTTCAACTGAATTTTATCCTTACCAAAACAGTTTAAAACATTGTTGCGACCGATGAATATTATAGTAAAAAGCTTATAAACAAGCACATTTTATATAATTACATCATGGAATGGGTAAGAAGGTGGTGATGGTAAGTGTTTGGACCAAAACAAGCGTAAAAAACAGTAACGTAATTAATTTAGATGAATTAGCGATTTATGCAAAATAATCAGGCCAAATAAGGTGTCTTTAGGTGTCTATGGGCGACCTGTGGGCGACCTGGGCATGCCTATGGGCGGTCAGGATGGGCCTGACCATACGTGGGCATGCCCATGGGCGACCTATGTCAATGTCTACCTCTGCCCCAAACCCCGGCCCAGCGGGCTTTGGGGCGGGTTCGGGGCAGGGTCACGGGGCCGTCCGTGACACTCTAGGTGCGTGTCCCGGAGCGTCAAAGGATGTTCCCTGATCACTCAGGGAGTAGTCACGTGAGACCCTCATAAAAGCAGCGGGACCTGTAATAGGAAATTCAGAGTCGCTCGCAGAAAAATGTTACATTTATACACTATTGTAATACATTTCTGCGGAAATCTCGACACTTGCCCTTTCTGTTTTCGGTCCGACTTCTCGCCGCTTTTGGCTCCCTGAGCCGCCCGGAGCGTACCCAGAGCAAGGTGATGCGTGCCCAGAGCGCTCAGGGAACCACGCCAGAGTGATCCTGGAGTGATCCTGGAGCAACTCGAGATTAGTAGTAATTATATAATTTGTGGATAACCTGCTAAATACAAATTTTACATGTTATATCTTATACAAAACTAGTATATACAGCGCCCGAACGGGTTGAATATTTTTTTTAAATACCCAGGATATGTTATGGGGTTCTCGTACGAACCCAAAGGATGACAGTTTGGCTAAGGCCAGCACAGAATGCAGCCAGCAAGGGGACCAAAACGACTATTGACGACCTTCGTACGATCCCCTTACATGAAGACTATCGGTGACCTTTTCGGTCAACTCCTGACCTCCGAGAACACTATTTGGAATCTCATTCCTGTACGACCATAAAAGACTGCTCCCACCTCTGCCCTGTTTGTTTCTTCTTCAACGATTCCTTCTTGTATAGTAAAGGGTAGCTTTAGGTTAAGACAACTTGAGTTAAACCCCTAACAGATAAATAAGAAAACTGAGATTCTGAAAAGAGACTGAGGTTCTGAGATTGAGATTCAGCCTCATTTGCATCCTCTGTGAAAGATGAAGTCAATGGTAAATCAGCCATAATAACTCTACAGATGTAGGGTTGTAGCTTGAAAGGCTATTTTTGAAACTTAAGATGAAAATTCTGCTAAGATGAGGTCTGAGATTGAGATATCATCTCAAACGGTCAGCCTAGGTTCATGTCATCTATTTCAACAAAGTTCTATTGCCACTAAAGAACATTACGCAGTGAGAATAATATTAGCTGGCTCATGATGATACATTCTAACTATCTACAACTACACCACAACAGACCGCGCAAACACATCCGCTCTCTCCATAGCCCTACCCGGCTCAGAATCAAAGAAGCCAATCTCCATCAGATACTGGACATTCCGAATTACTGCCTGTTCCATCTCCCGCTCCATCTCCCCCGTCTCACCACCCAACAGCTCCACTCGCGGCGCCGGACACCCCAGCATATCCCGTCCCTGCTCGATATAATGCATCACTGGCAAACAAGGATGCTCGGAGCCTTGCTGGCCAACCTGCTCCCGCAGCGCCGCTATCCAGGCCTCATAATCCAGCACCTTTAGCGGCTGCCCAGCCAGTGCCGTGTTCACAGCATCCCAGAACCGACGTACCCGCATTCCGCGAAGCATCTTCTGTTCCCAGTACGGTGTTTCCGTGCGCAACCCGTCTAGCATCGACTGTCCGATATCCTCCCCGCGCGCCATGTACATGTATCCTGCTCCCGCATCGCTCTCCACGCAGTATGCACCCAAGCTGACACACCCCTTGACCAGCCGCCAGAGGAAATCATCCGTGTTGGCGACACCCGTGTCCGGGCCCCCGATGATAAGACCCGGCTTGAGGGTAGCAAAGTGCGTCGCCGGGCTTACTCCAGGCATCGTAGCCGTGCGCGCGACCAATTGTTCAGCGATGAGCTTGGACTGGCCGTACCCGTTTGTACTGGATAAGTCCGCCGCGAGTTGCGTGGTCTCGAGACATCCGGCCTGGCCCTCGGGATCCCACTGCGCGCCGCCGGAGACGAAGCAAAAGCGCGTGATTGCGGGGTTACCTGTCGCGACGCGGAGGAGCTCCGCTGTGGCGTCTACGTTGGCTACTTTGAGGGCCGCGTAGCTGCGGAACCAGTTGACCATGGCGCCGTTGTGCACTATGGCGTTGATGGCGGTGCTGGATAGACTTGCCCATTGTGAATCTGTCAGGCCGATCTGTGGCTTTGCGAGATCGCCTGGCCAGACGGTGATGTGGTTGGAGAATTGGTCGTCCCACCAGCCAGCGATGCGTGCGGCACGGATAACCCGCCGTAGGCCGGTGGTGGGTGAGTCTGCGCGCACGAGCAGGTAGACGTGCTGAACGGTGGGGTCTGCGAGAAGCGTGCGTAGGAGCATTGTTCCGACGTAGCCCGTAGCGCCGGTTAGGAAGACGTTTCCTATGCTGCTGGAGGGGGTTGGGGACAGGACGCTGTCGGCGATCGCACGGGTTAGGGTATCTAGATCTTGGATGAGGTGGTGTACAACTGGAGATTGGGAGTGGGTTGCTGAGGCTGTAGAAGATTCAGGGCTGTGCTGTAGCCGGTCAACCTCGCGGGCAACCTGCGCTAGGGTGTCATGCGCGAGAAATCCCGTCATGGACAAACGGATGCTAAAGTGCTGGTTGATCGACCGGACCAAACCAACGCTCTTGATTGAATCGAGACCGCTAGATGCGAACTGGACGTCTTCGAGCTCGTCACCCGGCGGCGTGGTAAGTAACCCGTCCAGCAACTTTCTGATCTGCCGGGCCGTTTCGTCGGTGGGTTGAATCTGTGCCCGGATGGACTTGTGATCGGCTAGAAGGGAACTGGCTCGGAACTGCTCCAGGTCTTTTGCGGCCAGGCCCCCAAGCCACGTCTGCACGGCTTTGCGGTCGATCTTGCCGCTGGTCGACATGGGGAGCTGGTCCACGACGATCCAGAATGTGGGCTTCATGTAGCCCGGCAACTGCGCGCCAAACACGCGGTCCAGCTTCTGCAATGTAGGCTGTGCGCGGCCAATCTCCCGAGAATGCGGCAGGTCAAACAATGACGACGATGACGATGCAGAAGACGGGTAGTCAGGCGACGAATGCTCCGAGCTGGATGACGCGCTGTCATAATTGGACTCTACATGCAACACCAACGCCAGATTATCCTCGCCCGAGCTCCCTACCGGCCCTGGCAGCAGCATCGCAATTGCCTCGCTCACTGTCTCCAGGGACCCCGCAACAGTCTCGATCTCTCCCAGTTCAATCCGCTGCCCACGCAGCTTGACCTGACTATCCCGCCGTCCCACAAACACGAACGTCCCGTCAGCATCAGCACGCACCAGATCACCAGTCATGTACACGCGTGAGTGCGGCGACTCGTCAACCGTCTCCAGCCACGGCGCACACGGGAGAAAAGCTCGTGCCGCGGCGTCCGCGTCATTGAGATACCCCCGCCCAACAATCGGTCCCTGAATCGCCAATTCCCCGACAAGCCCTCGTGGCGCCAGCTTCGTCCAATCCTCAACATCAACAACCCACAGCCGGCACCCGATCGCGGACCCGAAGTTCGCGGGGTCCACGCCGGCCCGCACGCGAGGTGTTAGAGTACATGTTACACAGCACTCGCTTGGGCCGTACGAGTTCTCGACATGTACGCTATCTGCCCACCGCTCTACATGCGCGCTTGTCACGGCCTCGCCGCCAAACCGGAGGACCTTTAACCCCGGTACCTCGGCGGGGTCAAGAAGCATAGCGATTGAGGGTGTCAGTTCAACGATATCGACGTTAAACTCCCGCAGGACAGCAGGTAAGTTCGTAAGCCGGTCGTCATCACGCGGAATACACACGCATCCCGATACAAGCAGCGGGCCTAGCATATCCGCAATGCAGGGATCGAAGCTATACGATGCGAACTGCAACATGCGCCAGCCTGGACGGAATAGCCCGCGCTGGACTTGTGCGGAGAACCCCGAGGATACCTGGCGGTGTTCGAGGACGGTGCCCTTGGGGGTTCCTGTTGTGCCGGATGTCATTACGACGTAGGCGGGATGTTTAGGGCCAGCGCGGCGGAGTGAGTGTGGAATGGAGCCATCGTTGCTGGATGCGGCTAATGAGAGAAGGTCCTGTTTAGTGGGCTCGTCGAGGCAGATGGCTGTTTTTGAGGTGAGCAGGGATGCGAACTGGGTGGCTTGCTCGGGTCCGCAGAGGACGGTTGTTGCGCCTGAAATGTCGAGCTGGGACTGCACACGGCCAAAGGGCAATGCGGGGTCTAAGAGGAGAAAGGCGCCGCCGGCTTGTAGGACGGCGAGCATGGCAACCAATGTCCATCGTGACTTGGGATGGATGATTGGCACGATGGTGTCTGGCTGCACGCAGGCGGAGATCAGGCGCTGGGCGAGTGTCGTGGAGAGCCAGAGCAGCTCTGCGTATGATAGTTCGCCGTCCCAGGCACACACGGCTGGTTGCTGCGGACACTGCGCGGCCGCGCTGAAGATCATCTCGTGGATACAGCCCTCAACGGCTTGTGGTGCGGGTGTTTTTGGCTGGGCAAGCAACGCCGCCTCCTCAGAAGACCGTAAGTCAACACTTGAAGCAGGGAATTCAGCCACACCCGGGTCCTGCAAAGTCTCAAACACATGCGCAAAATGCTGCATCAGACACTCCGCCTCAAACCGCGAGATACTCGTCTCATCAATAGTCAGCGTATGCGACACCGTGCCTTGTCGCAGGAAACACTCCAGAGTCACAGGGTATGTCAAGTAATCATCAACTCCCGGGTTCACCTCAACAATCTCCGCCCCATCGTCCGTCACGGCGGCAGCCAGATCCGCCGGCTGCACGATCACCAAACTCTGGAACTTGGCGGCCTGGGCTGGTCCCAAAGCACCCAGTGCTTGGATGCGCGGAAGTCCGAATTGCTCGTGCACGCTCATCTCCCCGGACTGCTCCTGCACGTGCTGGGAGAACTGGCGGACGGTGTAATCGCGGGGTGTGCGGACTCGCACGGGGACAGTGCAAATGGTAGGGCCCATCATCGATTCGATGCCGGAGACCGGGTGATTGCGTCCTGTGACGATGGCGCCGAAGACTACGTCCCCGGAGCCACAGTATCGAGTTAGTACGAGCGCCCATGCAGCGCGGATCATTGACGACGCGGTTATTCCAGACGCACCACCGTGCCAGGAAGATGTGTGCGTGATGCGGTGTGTTGGGCGCGCGACGGTTGTAGAGGGGAGACGCGGGAAGGCCTGTCCTTCATAGCCGTGCAGGGTGCGCTCCCAGTACTTTGCTGAGGGGGTCCAGTCGGTGTCGAGGACAGTCCGCACGAAGGAGGAAAACGAAGGGGAGGGAGCGTTCGAATCCGGGTTGTTCAGGTAGGCGCGCGAAAAGGCCTGTAGCATCAGCCGCGCAGACCAGCCGTCGTAGATGGCGTGGTGAACCTGCCAGTGCATGTAGACCCGTCCATCGACCGAGTTTACTTCAAAATGCGAAGCGAAGAGCGGCTGGCCGAATGGGCTGCCATTAGGGTCCGCTCCGCCAGCGGTGGTGAATGGTGGTTGTTTATCCTGGTTGACGACGACATTGAAACATTCTCCATTGTCTAGCTGGACGATCCGACTGCGCAGAATCTCATTCTGCTTCACCATGTATTGCCCTGCTGCCTCGGCCTGTGCTAGCGTCCAGTCCGTTGGGAGAGCGAACTGATGGTATACCCAGTAAGAGTCTGGTCGTTGAGCCGTCAGTGCCATAAGTCCCGATTGCATCGGGGTACACGGGTACATGTCCGTGATGTCTGATGGGGAGAGTTCGCACTGGCGCGCTGCCTCGACGAGACACTTTTCCAGCATCTGCTGGTGGGTGGTGACCAGCGAGAACGGCGCGTATGTCGCCGGTTGCATGGAAGAAGTCGTAGTGACGGGCTTTACATCGTCCAGGCGTCCGACTGTATGAGCTAGCTCGGCTAGTCGGGGACAGGAGATGATCGTAGAGACGTTCAGTTCAATATTGTTCTCGCGCGACAATCGAGCCAGCTTCATTGCGTCGATGGAGTCGCCTCCGAGGCGGAAGAAGTGCGAGTCCGGGGTGATGGTGGATTCGTCAAGATGGAGGACGGTGCTCCATAGGCGTTGCAGTAGGGATACGCATGGGGATAGGTTATGTTGTTTGTCTCCGCGTGCGAGCGTGGCGTCATTTGTGTATGTGATCATGTCTGACGCTGAAATCGTTTCCATCGTCCTGTTTGCGCATTGTTAGCTTTAGTCGAATCTGTGAGAAATGGAAGTCTCACATGGCAATGGCCCGTCGATCCACCTTCCCTGTCGCCGTCCTCGGCAACTTGTCTATCTCGATGAACCCAGCCGGAAGCATGTACGAGGGCAGATGGTTGAGAAGGAGATGATCCAAGCCGATAGCCCAGTCCGATCCCCGAGTATCAACTTCTGACTCAAACGAGACAAAAACCACGAGACTTTCCTTGGGAGAATCGCGGAACTGCCCCTTGATGCAAGCCAGCTCTCCGATCCCTGGTACTTGCTGTCTAACATGGTACTCAACCTCTGACGGGTCGAGTCGCTGCCCACGGATCTTGATCTGGAAGTCCTTGCGTCCGATACACTTCCAGTGCCCGGCTTTGGTGCGCTGGAACAGATCCCCGGTCTTGACATACGATACTCGATGCCAGGCGGACGGCGGGTATGATGCGCGCCACCGCGGCGCTTCAATGAAGCAATCCCCACCAACCCCATCCTCAGTCAAGAGGCCCGTAGGCGCAGTGCAGGACTCAGAAATGAGTTCGCCAATAGCGCCGGGCTCAGTCAGCAGCACGTTGTGATCATCCGGATCAACCAGCCACGGCGTCGTGGTAGTGTTGGTGCGCAGCCAGAAGAGCTCGCGTCCACAGATGAGCACGTTCGTCCCCAGGATAGTGTTGGCCTCAGAGCAGCCGTAGTTCACAATGACATTGCGGCCGTTGCGGTCTAGCCGCACGACTGTCTCCGGGTTCGCAGCCTCGCCGACGAAGATCAGTGTGCGGATATCCTCGAGGTCTGCATCGTCAAGCGTGCTGACTAGCGACGAGGTGATGCTGAGAGTGTTGGCGCGCATAAATTTCATTGACCGCGCGAGCTCATTCTCGATCTGCTTCGTTGTTGGCAGGCATAGTGTGCCGCCGTTGACTAGGGTGATGAAGATGTCCTGCAGGACAATCACCCACCCGAACGCGGCGAATTGGTACACGCGCGAGTGGGCAGAGTACTGGAAGTCCCGACCCAGTGCAACGGCCATATTGCTCAGCGCGGCGTGGCTGTATAGCACCGCTTTGGGTTTTCCTGTGCTGCCTGAGGTGAAGGTCACCACTGCTCCGTCGGCGGGGGTGTGTGGCATCGACGATTCTGCCGGAACGGGGGCTTCCGGAGGCTGGCATTCTACTTCAGCCCATGAGTTCGGCATCGCGAGGACCGGTAACCCAAACCGGCGCGCCTTGTCCTCAAAAACACCATCCGTCACGATAGCTTTGCACCGTGTATGGTCGACAATATAGCTCAACCGTTCATCCGGGAATGCCGGGTTCACAATCACACAGGTAGTCTTGAGCTTGAGCAGGGCGAGAAACGAACATATCGCGCTTGGGGTTTTGTCGCTGAGGAGGAGCACCTGATCGTTGGGGAGGAGCTGAGCCTCGTGTTGCTGAAGAATGCGGTGCACAAGATCTGTCCGCCGCATCAACTCCTGGTATGTGAGGGACTCGGTGGTTGTGGAAATGGCTTCACACTGTGGTGCTTTATGGGCTTGCGCGGCGACCAGGTCGTAGACGTAGGCATTGTTGTGCTGGACCAGGGTGAGGAGGTCCTCTGTGGAAGGGGCGTTTGGATGTGAGGGTGGTATCATGTTGAACTGCGAGTGGTTCTTTCGAATGGAATATGGAGGATTGGTAGGTATGGACACTGTCATAGATGCTAACTATTACGGAGATTCACACGAAGATGCTTTTTAAACAAGGCAATTGCTCAGACAAATCAAACATGCTAATGGCATACTAATGCGGGAACCTCAGCTCTCCCAATAGACCATTGACCTATTAAAAAAGCTCTCTGTCAGACCTACTAGGGATTTGGAAAAGCTGAATGCGAATTTGCATTTGTTTGCATACCTGCATGCCTTTGTATAGAGTATAGGATACGAGAGACCGTACCGAAGATCCGAGGATGGCCATGCAGGACTATCATCTACACCGAGTCAGGTCAAGAGGCCAATCAAGATCACGATATTGATATCCACATTTCAGCTCGGGCTGCGCATGAAGATACTGAGCTAAATAAGCGGGCCGATTTATTTCGTATCCTGTATTACAGTTATTACATCTGGGAAATTTCCATATCGTGTTTCCCTGTACTCTGTACTCCGTACTCCATACGATATGAATGCACGTATCTCATGTTCAGCTCCCCCTCCTAGTGGGAATCAAGCCGGTCCATTTGCTTGCCCTTGATCTATGGCCTCTGCCGAGATCTTTCCATTGCTCAAGTGCGGATTTCACAATGACACTGGCAACGGCATGGCTAGAATTCTATCCTGGATTGCAACAGAATCCGCTGGCAATTCTCACATCCATTGCTGTCATTCTCCTTCTCTATTATCCCTCGCAATGGCTGTATCTGTACTATTTTCACCCATTGGCGTCTTTTCCCGGGCACCCTGCCGCCGCATTCTCCAACCGATGGCTCCTAAGTAATTACAAAGGATTTCCGGAGAGGGAGTTTGAAAAGCTGCATGAGAAATATCGTGCGTCCAGATTTTCTCTTTTTCTTAATTCGCGAAGGTCTTGTTAATTCAGCAATAGAAACCAAAGCCCTACGCATCGCCCCCAATGAGCTTCACATCACCGACGTTCATCAATACAAGACAGTTTACAACAACATCCGGCCTTTCCTCAAAGACCCGGCATTCTATCACTTGCCTACTATCCCTGTCCATTCTTTGTTTGCGGAGATCGACCCCGCGCGGCACAAAGAGAGACGCAAAATGTTGAACCCGCTATTCTCTCGAAATGCAGTGTTCTCGCTGGAGCAGACCGTTCACGAAAAGACCAACATTCTGATCAGGAAAATTGAGCGGATATGCGAGGGTCGGTTAGTGGATATCAACAATGCAGTACGGTGAGTTGGTTGCGCTAATGGATCGCACCAAGTTGAGACTGATGATGTAGATGCACCACGATGGAAGTCATGATGGAATTCGCCTTTGCCAAGGCGGCCAATATGCTGGAGGAAAGTGATACGACTTTTGAGTCTCGGATTCTTCAGGCTTTCGACGGGTATACGGGGAGTTTGTGGGATTTCCCGTTGATACAAAAGATGGGGGCGTGGGTGCCCGCGTGCATTGCAACAAAACTGCGCACAGAGATGCCGTCCTTTGACGAGGTTATCAACGTGAGTTATGTGCCGTTGGCTAGTGTGTAATTTTGTGTGATGGGAGACTGACGATAATCTAGTTCGCAGAGGGTTGTCTGCAGTATTACCAAGCCCACGGCAATACCACGAGCCATCCTGTTGTCTTTGATAACCTGACTTCTCTTCCGCGGGAGGAGATGGTACATGAGGCAATGGAGATGCTCGTCGCTGGATCGGACACCACTGCATCAACTTTGACATCGGGAGTCTTACATATCGCGTCCAATTCAGAGGTTCAAAACAGACTCGCCAGGTCATTACAGGAAACTGAGTTGGATGCAAATGGAATGCTCCCACTGGCTGAGCTGGAGAAGAACATTTTCCTGGTATGCATTCAACGAGAGTAACGTTTCCCCATCATGGCTAATGCATATGGATAAAACAGACAGCATGTATCAAAGAGACACTCCGGATTGGTACCCCAGTTCCTGGCCGGCTGCCGCGGATTGTTCCTAGTGACCCACCCTTCCTCGTCGATGGGAAAGTTATTCCTCCTGGTGTAAGTCTCTTTCTGGAATTCATGGGTGGGAAAAAGCTGACTCGATCAGACCGTTGTCTCTATCTCCACCTACACCATGCACATGAGCGAGGAACTATGGGGTCCGGATGCCAGAGTCTTCAACCCGGATCGCTGGTTGGGCTCAGGTTCGCAAGGTCTGGATCAATATTTCTGCTCTTTTTCCAAAGGATCGAGGATGTGCATCGGTCAGAAGTAAGTGCCCCTTCGTTCTTTTCCCTTCGACAATTGCTGATCTCCTAAAGCTTGGCCTACGCAGAGCTCGCCACCATCATGGCATGGATTTTTCGCCATTTCCAAGTGACCCTTCCCGAAGGATTCGAGCCCCCGAGGCAAGAAGACCGATTCGAACTAGCATATGTCACAGGTCTTCCAGTCAAAATCAGTGTTCGAAAATAGTTTAAGTGTATAAAATAAAGCCTTCGTTCATGAGTATCTACCTACATCATTGGCGTTGGCACCCACGGCTCAGGTCGAATCTGAGGCATTGTATGTAGCAATTTGTTTTCCACACACTGCACCGACTCAAACACATTGTCAACCCCCAGTCTAACCACCTGCATATTCACGCCCAGCCATACATCATCTCCCCTGATGCTAAATGTGATCGTTCCCCGGGCAAAGTGTAAATCAACACGGATCGAAAATCTCTGGTCCGGGTTCCCGGAAAATGTACCGAGCTGAATTCCGTAGATGCTGGCTTGGGCAATTGTGTCGAATGCGAGGGAGTGGGTGTAGCCATGTACCTAGGAATAGGAAAATAATTATCAGCTTCCGTAATCAGTAGATGAAGATTAGATAGGGGAATATACCTCGACAACGCCAATGGTGCTATTGAACGGATGCCAGTCTTTGGAGATCTGGCTCGGGAGCATCTTCGGAAGGCCCTGATTGTTGAATTGTTTGACATGGTATGTTCCCGGTTGTGTTTCGATTGTTCTAAGGGTGGCTCCTACTCTCAATCAGTGACTTGATTCCATCGATTATGCTGATAGAGACAGACAGACCGGATGTAAAGCCCGCTAGTTCTGCCTCCATTTTGAGCTCTTCGTCTATTTAATGGTTGATTCAGTACAAGACGGATGTGTTAGAATTGGAACTTGAGATACAATCGGTTTTAGATTGAGAGCTCTCATGCCCAAGTACTGGCTGTAACGATGAACGATGATCAGTCAAGGCCGAGGTACTCTGTAGAGCTGAGGGAGCTTGTTTCCACTATTTCTCATGCATTACTGGTTCGAATTTCGAAGGGCTGGACTCAGCTGAATGCTCAACGATTACATGACGTACGCTCCGTAATCTATGTGATTAAAGATTCCGTATACAGTGTCCAGTGCGAGGCCCGACAGGTCCACGCCGAACTCTGTCTCTGGGCCGGCATTGGATGATCTCATCACATCGAGTCTCCATGGGGCGGGTGGATCAGCTTATGCCCCTGTTCATGTTTTCTTCTGTTTGTAATTTACAATCGGAAACTAGAATTTCAGCTGGTATTCCGCATTGTCATGTTGTAATTCTCAAGACTGATCTTTCAACCAAGGTGGGCCTGGGTATGTATACATCTACTTCGTATTCTCTGTATTTTTGGCAATTGAGTCTCACAATTATCCCACGCCTCGAAGGACACAGACTTCTACTCCGTAGACATCATCCAAAATGGAAATCATCTGGCGGGACTCCGCAACATACGAGCATGCTCGATTCGAACGCGTCTACAATCTTCTCCGTCCCAACCGCTACCCGGCCGCCATTGTCCGCGCCAAAAGCGAATCCGACATCGTCGAGGCGGTCCGACTCGCCCACAGCAAGGGTCTTCGCATCGCAGTGAGATCCGGCGGTCATTCTTTTGCTGTCTGGAGTGTCCGGGATCATTCGATCCTTTTGGATCTGGGTGATTACCGCGAAGTGACGGTCGATGCAGCAAAGCGGGAGGCGCGCGTGTCGCCGAGCACGCAAAGTAACCTTGATTTACAATTGATGAAGGACTATGGGTTGATGTTTGGTGGCGGGCACTGTCCTGATGTGAGCTTGGGGGGGTACTTGCTTCAAGGAGGGATTGGGTGGAATTGCAGAGTTCGTTTGTCCCCAGATATGTTCAGTGAGATGGAAAATAATGGAGTGTTTAGAACTGGGGCTGGGGCTGTGAGCAAGTAAAGGCCGTCGATGTCGTCACGGCAGATGGTCGGCTCGTCCACTGCAATACGGAGGAGAATAGCGACCTCTTCTGGGCAGCTCGGGGCGCTGGTCCAGGTTTGTTGCCCTCCTATTTTATTCAGACACTCCCAGCTAACTATGGCATCAGGATTCCCCGGTATTGTGACCCGGTTTCACCTCCAGCTTCATCCTGCGCCCAAAGTCTTCCGAACATCGGGATACATGTTCCCAAAAACGCACTACCGGGAAGCGTTCAACTGGATACTCGGTCTTACATCCACCTTTGATGATGGTACCGAGATCAGCGCCTCAGGAATGTACCCCGACGGCAAGGACGAGGTCGCGTTCTTCGTCTATATGGTCACCATGAAAGACACGGCCGAAGAAGCGCAAGCCGCCCTGTTACCGGCTCAGCAGACCCGACCCCCAGGTGCCATCGAGGAATGGTTCTGTCGCGAGGACAGTCTCGAGCAGGAATACGCCACGCAGGAGAACGCCTACCCGGGAGGCCGACGATGGCTCGCCGACAACGCATTCATCCGCAACGACGTCGACTTAGCGGCCGTGCTAGAAGACGCATTTTTGAACCTGCCAGACAACAACTTCACTGTGCTTTGGTACCCGCTTGCCCCGCGTAGTCGCCGTCCGCTGCCGGACATGGCGTGCAGCTTGCAATCGGACCACTACTTTGGGGTGTATGCGATCTACCAGGACGAACGGGATGATGAGCGATGTCTCACCTGGCAAAAACAGACAATGGAGAAGGTGGAGCGCTTTTCGGTCGGCACCTTTACGGGCGAGACTGATTTCCAGCACCGAGAGGCCAAGTACTGGGGCGATGAGCAGGGACTGAGGCTGGCTGAGATTCGCAGAAAATGGGACCCTGAGGGGCGCATCTGTGGATATCTCGACCGGGAAGATACATCCGGGGTGGGAGGATTGAGCAATCGACCGGGATGGCAGACTCAGAGTGCACAATTGTAGATAGACCCGTTCAGCTCTGGCGTACTCCGGAGTGTTTTACAAAATACGCTCGGTATTAAATGGTATTGTGTAATACAAGTCTGAGATGATCAGTCAATTTGCAAATCCATACCAAATCGACTCTTCTGGGATTGAAAGACGGAAAAAAATCTGGAATCAATGCTCCCGCCATGCCCATTTCAGTTGGTCTTACGAGGCTGAAAGCGATTGTTTTTCTCTCTTGACCGTCTTGATTTCGAGCCTTTACCATACGAACCAGGTAGACAACCCGCAGCTGGACAACGGACATGACATTCAACACAGATACGTCGAAGCCTCTCGGATACCGATGGAGGTCCTCCAAGACATTCATCGTGGGATCTGTCACTGTTGCGTTGTTTACAGGTGAGTGGGCACCCATACTACATGTCATATCATCCCTAACTGATCAATACAACAGAATCACTGCTCTTCGGCTTCATCGTTCCAATCCTCAGTTACATGCTTGAGCAGCGCTTGCATATTGATCCGTCACACACCCAGAATGAAACGACCAAGCTGCTTGCCATCTATGGCTTTGTGTCGGTGGTGTTCGCGACAGCCACCGCGCATGTGGCCGACAAGATGCCGGATCGGAGGACTCCTCTCCTGTATGCACTGGCAGGTTGTCTTGTTGGCACGGCCCTGGTTGCATCTACTCTCTCGAGTATGGCTTGCTTTCTATGTACTTTGGAATGCATCACAGTAGCTGACCAAGATACTCGTGTATGTAGTCTGGACGGTCTATCTGGGTCGCGTCCTCCAATCAATCGCTTCGTCCGGCGCCTGGATCGTAGGCTTCGCCACCGTAGCAGATGCCGTGGGTGACGAGCACTTCGGCAAGGTCCTGGGCGTCGTTCTCTCCTTTGTGACGGCAGGCACTATTTCCGGTCCTACCGTCTCTGGGGTTCTGCTGAAGCTCGTGGGATACTGGCCCACATGGCTAGTGCCCATGGCGGTGCTAGTTTTAGATATGCTCGCGCGCATGCTCATGATCGAAGCCTCAAAGCCGACTCCGAGCGATGAAGAGCGAACCGGTCTTCTTCCCGCGAGCAGGCCCGCTTCTTCAGACCAAGAAGGCAGTACTGCACCTTCAACGTCCAACTTCTATCGCATCATGTTGCTTGACAGCCGGGTGTTGACCGGCCTTGCGGGCTGCCTACTCTACTCCTCGCTCATGGCTAACTTCGATACGACGATCCCGCTGCATGTCCGCGAGACGTTCCATTGGGATAGTCTGCCGACAGGTCTGATGTTCCTCTGTCTACAAATCCCCAATGTGATCTTCAATCCCGTTAGCGGCTGGGTCCGGGATAAGATCGGAGTGCGTTATCCGATGACGGTCGGATGGGCGTTGATGGCTCCCTTGCTGTTTCTGCTCGGCATGCCGGGTGACGAACGGTTTGCGTGGGTGAATGGGGGACATCACGGAGTTGTGATTACCGTGACCTGTCTGCTTGGAATCGGTGCATTAGGCAGTCTGCTGCATGGTGCAGGGCCGATGGAGTTAACTGGTATGTTCTTTTTCCTCGTGTCTATATGTTATTCGGATTTCAGCTGAATGGTTTTAGCTGTCGTTCGGGAGCAAGAAGCACAGGACCCGCTTATCTTTGGAGAAAACGGAGCCGGTTCAAGGGCCTTCGCGTTGGCTGAGATGGCTTTTACGCTGGGGATTATGCTGGGTCCGCTCCTCTCGGGGCCATTGGTCGAATTAGTGGGTTACTTCTACATGAATGTGGTCTTTGGTAAGTTTCTCGTGCTTTTATTCATTCATTGTCGGAGTGCTAATTTCCCATTCAGGAATTCTATGTCTTATGCTTGCAGTGTCTTCATTCAATTTCCTTCGTCGCAAACAACCCGCTATAGTAGAGTAGTTCTAGCCGACACCAGATCAAGAATGCAACTCATCATTTGGTCATGTCTACCCCAAACGCCTTTGTAGCACCACCTCATAATGTTAGCTATTTACAGAACAAACCCAAGTCCCCCCATCACTAACCGTCTCCCCAGACTGCACCGCCATGCCCCCAATCCCAAAAACCGCCCATTAACCACCTGATATGTCCCAACCATATGATACCGCTGCACCATTCCGTCCCGGCTACGCTTCAAATTATACCAGAGCTGGTAGATTCTGCGCTGAGCGACATACACAGTTACGCCCGGCGGCAGGTAGGCTGTCTTCAGCTGCTCCAGTTTCTCCATCCATTCATCGGGACTGATTTCATCGCCGAAGACAATGCCTGCTCCTTTGCCACTTCGGATGGGTTTGAGAATGTACTCGTCTTTTAGTTGTGGTGCTGTTGCACATTGTTCAATAAAATTGTGCAGTTCGTTTGACCCTAGCCAGCCTAACGGCCTGCTCAGAGGTCAGCACGGCTCGAGCAACCAAGGACTCGAGCTCTTGCAGCACAATTCCGAGCATGCGCTTGTCGTGGACCAGTAGTATGGTGCGTATATCGTTGAAGCAGCGCAGACTGAGCTGCCGCTGCATCTCCGGCTTTAGAAGGCGGAATTCGCGCTGGTACAGCTCAAGGCCGACCTGGTGGATTTCCTCGAGGGGCTCTCTGGCGTCATTCTTGAAAGCCGATGTGTCTACATACATGGGGTCTGCGACGCAACACAGCTTATACCCCGTTTTGGCGGTTGGGTCGGGCATCAATCGGAGGTCGTGTGGGGTGATGAATCGAGGGTGGATGCCGAGATGCTCCTCTGCCCACGCAGCAAACATGTGAATGTCGATTCCGAATTCCTCGCCTTTGAGGAGGTGCAGGGGGTAATTGGGGTCAAAGAGCTGCTGCAGGCCCCGTAGGATCTAGACTAGTCAGGGGCAAAGCATTACAACAAGGACATGAGGAATCTGCACGTACTCCATCTGGATCCGTCGCATTGGTAAGCGTCTCTTGGTCAATCTGCATCCTGGAGAGGGCCTGCTGGCCAAACACGGTATGCATGAATCCATTCCAGCAGAAGCGGGCGTTGATTTCGCAAATGCGGAAGTTCTCAATGGCCGGCTCGTCGGGCACCGTAGTAGGATCTTGCTCGAGGAGAAAGTCCGGTCATCAGGTCGGTTCTGATCGTACAGTTGTCTTTGGGTGTCTAGATTGGGAGGCTCTGGGCCATAAAGGGTGGTGGGCTGGAGATAGTGTAGTCGTGGGTTTCTCATGGTGCTCACTGGTTGTTGACTGAAGCTAGCGCTATGGAGTTCCATTCAGAGTAGTACGGCTACATACCTTATATGGATATTCTTTACCTACTCTATATAATACCCCCTCTTCAGCTCCTGGTCTGAACCCACATGTATCATTGGGTATTACATTAACTATTTGTCGGAGTGAGGTTGATATAGCGCTCCATTTAGCAGCCTATTTGATTGGCTCTCTTATACTGTGATATTATTTGTCTGTCATGAGGGCCCTCCCCTTTATTGCCAATATGTATAGTTATAGCTACAATTCGCTCTAAGAAGAACAACCAATCAATCATACTTCCTTATTCAACATTCGCTTCCACACTTCCTCGGGATGAGATGAGTAAGCAAGGCCCAAGGCTGATCTGAAAATGCACCGTGACATCAAAATTCATGAGGATAATGGAAGTGCCAACTGACCCTGTTACAATCAGAACAGGCGTAAATAACTGATATTTACGAATCTGAATCAGCGATTTATGCATCACATGACAGCCACGATGTAGTTAATTTAGGGGAATATTGTGCAAATGCGGATACCAAAGTGGTATCCGCGGATGAGGATATGTCGCAGTCTATTCCTGACTGGGCTTCCATCTCTTCATGCAGTACCAGGCAACACCCATAGCACACATTTCAATGGCGAAGAACATGGCCGCCATCTCATAACCAATGCTGAACTTAGGGGCCTCTCCACTCGGGTATGTAAGCAAGATCACCCATGCATTGAAGACAAAAGCGGTCGTTTCCACCACACCAATAACAATCAGCCGGTGTTCCGTCGAAAAAGAGAGAAGCTCATTGCACATAGTCATAATCAGGCCCGAGACCCCAGTCTCTGCATATGTCAGGAACCAACCAGCCATCATAGCAGCTTTGTTGTGCTCCGGATACACGCTCAGAATAATGCAGCCCGCGAGAGAAAGCAACACACCGAAATATATCACCAGGATTCTCTGCTGGGTAGCATCGCTCCACCAGGCGTATAACAAAGTCATGATTGCCTGGAATCCGAACGCAGCCGTTGGAATTAGGTTGGCATCTTCAACGCTGTAGCCGGATGCTTTGAGGTAGATATTGAAATAATTGTAGATCCGGATGCCAAGGACATGGGCTGTAAATGACACACTAAAAACATACACTGGCCACATAGTGAACACCTCGTAGAAGGTCCTCCATTTGAGGCCCCGCGGCGGCTTCCGACCGACTTTATTCATTCTGTCGATGGCCATCTCTTTCTCCTCTAGCTTCAACCATTTCGCCTTAGTATTGTTGGGACTGTCAGGCACGGCAAAATAGCCGTAGATGCAAATAGGGAAACCGATGATTCCGTCGAAAATGAAGAGCCACTGCCACGCACTAAAACCATGCTTGCCATCCATTCCGGCATATAAGCCCGCCTGTAAATAGCCCGAGAACATTTGCGAGATCATAGCACTGCAGACGAAGATGGCAGATCGCTTGCCCAGCTCTTGGGGAGTATACCAGTTTCCCAGTAGAGTTATGATACCTGGATATGCGGAGGCCTCGAGGATTCCGATGAGGAAGCGAAGAGCGTAGAGTGTCTTGACGTTCTTAGCCGCAGCCATGGCCATGACGAGACAACCCCAAATAAGCTCGACAGATGGCAACCAGATCGATGGCCGGATCTTGGTCATGATTAGCTGCGAAGGCAGATTGCCTAGACAATACCCTAAAAGGACAGGGTATTAGCGAATGAATTTGCCATTCATGCCCTTGCCACGGCGAGGGAGCACCGGAAACACCTGATAAATCTTCAATGGGGAAGTCTGTAGGTCTTCCTACCAACTGTGAACATAGTCTGGAGATAATTATAGTCTTGACCGGACATATTAAGATCTTCCTTCATGCCGGAGATGTATGCATTGTTGACCTAAGCGTGTCATTCAATAAGTAACAAGACACCATTGTCTAAAATGAACGGCAACTTACATTGGTCTGGTCGAGATATTTCACGAAATATGCCATACACACATACGACATGATCCAGCAGTCAACCTTGTTGATAAACTTGCGTTCCTTAGGCAACTTGTCGAGTGAGTCCCAAACGACGGATAGGATTCTCCTGCTTAGCGGCAGCTTTCTATGCGAGCCCGTTTCTGAGACTGCAGAAATATCTTCCTTGACATTATTGGTCTCGTCCGTTTTCAATTTGTGGCTTGACATCTTGAATCCGAAGGAACCACACGCGCTATCAACTGTCCACGGAGGTTGTTGACGGATTGCAATCGATAAAGTCACACTGTAGCAGCAGAGGCTCGCTGCGAGTGATGAGTGATTTTGAATCGGCACATCAACCTTGGATAAATATCGAGAGACATATATGGATATTGATGCATGTGCTGGGGCTACTGCATCAAATCAGCGCTTCTTTCCGTCTAAGGGCCTTTTCAGTTGATGGTCTTGCATTAGTCTGGATGAGGTGACTGCACCGACCTACCCTAGATGACATACCATACTTTTGAACGGGGCAATACCAATATAGTCGCAGCACGAAACCCGACATTGACAGCACGTCACTTGTAGTTCCTTGCCTCCCTTACGTGGGTTTTAGAGCGCACGCTGCTCTAGATCTTAGGCATATTGGAGTAAGCTTCGCCTCCGTAGGAACAGATATACTGGCCCCGACCATCATAACCATGCAAGGTATTTAAAAAGCCTCTGGAAATTCGCCATTAAGGAAACAGGTTAGGACATAACGTTTATCTTGCAGCCCTATTCCACGCTTTTCTTCTCTCTCTTCAAGATGTCGGCGCTGCATTTTCAGCGGAAATAATAACACGGAGCCGTTTGCTGGTGGGGTCCCGGTCGGGCCAAGCGCCCGACTTCCCTCACCTTGATCGAAAACGCCAGTATGCATTTTTCGAGGGCATCTCCTTAGAGTACAAATTTATCAAGAAGTCTTCTGGGTTCTCCCCAGTGGCGTTGGAGAGCGACCCAATCAGTCCTCCACTGTACCAATGGCACTAGGTTAGACTAGCTAGCTGATCATATTGTACCTAGAGTTTCTAGTTAATATATCTTGTGATAGTCACACTGGGAATTCACCTCAACATAATCCTCTATAATTGTGGTATTCAGGATGACAAACTGTGATCAGTGACCAATTGATCCTAAGTAATACGCAATGTTGGGTAATTGTCACGGGCTCGGAATAGTAGATAATAATGAATCAATGTTCCTATCTAGACTATTGCAACCATCGACGAGAATATCGAATCTGAAGAAAAGAGAAGAGGAAATCTATCTAGGCAATGAAGGGGTTTTATAGAGGTTGTTGGCAACATGGCTGAGTAGCAGCATTTGCGATGTATCATCCATTGCTGCAGTGTTGAGCCGTCATATATGAGTCGTCACAGTAATCACCTGTTAACTACGATGCTCGGAAGGATGTCTTAGCCTCTTAAGCACTGTTCAGAGAAAGTGGAGGAAGAACTTTGGCTGAGAAAATTATCTATCATAAGGCTCTTTAGACAACCTGGCGGCCATAATCTAACTATTAAAGAAGAGTTGTTGTGAAAGAAATTCAAAGAAACAAAAGGAATGTAAGTGCATAGTGCTTGTATGTGTTGTTTATAGTGAAAGTATGCTGGCGGCATTGCTGTAGTACCCCAATCCTATTACCTCAATCATATCCTCCATGAATACGATTGATCATCAGGTATATATGAACCAAGCCTCCAACAAAAGCAGCCATTGCTCTGTTATTTCTGTTTCAATTCTACTCCTCTTTACATCCTGTGATTGTCTGGTTCTGATTGCACATACCCTTCAAAACGCTCATTGCACTATTTAGAGACTCTTTTCTCACTATCATTTTGACTTTAGACTATTCTCTCACATTCTTCAGCCTTTTGAAGGCATTGGTAAGGGGGTTTTGATGATTATTCCGGTCCTTGGTGGGGGATTTGGATGAGTGTTTGGGGTTCTAAGTAGCACAATGCGCGTGAGTGGACGTCCAAATGGTCAAATCGGCAATCAAGTGCGCATCGGAAATGTCATCGACCCCATTCCAATAGTCCCAGTTTGTGGGAATCTTGGCTCCATACCTCAGCCACTTGCAAATCATGAAGTACAATGCTAACGTCAATGCCTCATTCATCCCATTCGGCTTGTCGGTGCAGCCGATGATCGCCTCGGGACGGATGGCATTCCATGCCTAGGACAAGCCGGACGTGCGTTGTTTTTCAATCAAGCAATCTTCCTATGGTAGTAGAAGTTCTGATCTGCACTTCTTAGGCGCGGCTGATCCTCCGACGCCAGCCAAGATACCGGGGATCACAGATCGAATGCTCAATGGCGAGCGAGAGGTGAGAATAATGCAATTCCATTCGTCGACGGCGGTTTCTGAGATGTTCGAGGATAGCGAACCCAGTAATTCCATTACCCCCGGTGATGACTACAACTTTGGTCATAACGGATAATATTTCCAGTAAAATAAGAGGAGCAGTAAAAGAAAGGTAGAGATTTGATATGGAGAAGATGTCACTTTACCCATAGGGAAGCATAAACCAATCCCGGGGATATCGATATGAGGGGTCGCATGGAGAACACATGGTGGACTTGTTTCCACATGGCACTATTGTCGCTAGAAATTTATGTAACTTCAAGTTAGTCATTGTGATTGGTTGTTGCTTATTATATCGTGTTGGGGCTCATATATATCCACGCCAGCGTCGAGTTGCTGTACTTTCATGAGCATGATGTATCTGATTTCCCGTACATCCTGAAGGCTTTCCTTTGGCGTTTTAGTGCTTACCCTAATCACTGGATTTGTAAATAGCTGAACATAAGATAGTTAAATAGTATAGGTAATCAGGGCTTGCTTGTGGGCCCAGAGGTCCAGTCAATGGGTACAACTGTCATATTCTATCTGCCTGTACGCTATGCCTTTCCACTGCTACCCATAATATCCATCCAGCGCTCCATCTCCCTCGTCAACACGTCGATCCCTTCATCCATCACCTGCGTGAGAGGCTTGCTCACATTCGCTCGAAGGTAGTCTTGCCACGGCTGCAATACGAGTTTGTTGACGTTGAATTTGGTAACGCCTGCCTCAATGCATACTCTGCACAGATCTGGGGGGAAGTCGTTGGTGCCGTGAAGTACGAGACGAACGCGGCCGTTCAACGCATCGAATATGCTCTTAAGCCTATCTGTCGCGTTAGCTGTCGTCGCATGAGGAGTACGTTCTTCTCACCGGTCCAAGTCGAGATGAGGTCCCTTGGGACCGTAGTCACCGTGGAGGTTGCCTACGCTCGGGGCCAGGAAATCGATTCCGGCGCTGATAAATTCTTCGACATCTTCCGCGTTTGTCAGGATTCCTGAGACTAGGTTAGCTATACAGCACAGGCACAGAATCTATGCTGATCAATGCCCTACCAGCCAGATCTCCCGTATCTGAAATCCCGTCTTCTCCTCCTTCAATCCGCCCTGTTTCGGCCTCGACTGCAATTTCCCGATCATGGCAGTACTCGCGCAGTACATTCGTTTTGGACAGATTCTCCTCTTTCTCATAGTGGCTCATATCCACCATTATTGAGTCGAATGGCAAATTGTCGGCGACATACTTGATCTGGTCGTAATCTTGCGCATGGTCCAAGTGAACAGAGATGGGTACTGACGCTGTTTTTGCTGCTGCTGCGGCCGCATGGATCAACGATGGGGTCTTAGTTAATGCCGAAGGAAATAGCTGTATGATCAAAGGCGATTTACGGTTCTCCGCTGCGTGAACAAAGGCCGTGACATGCTCGATATTATACCTGGGCCTGTTAGCACGTTTCCTTCTCTAGTTACGCCGGGACCGTTCTAACGCGATGGCTGCCAGAATGCCGTATCTCCCCTTCTCTGCTGCTTCAAGGATCTGTAGTGTTTTGTTAGTCGAAGGCCAGGCCATTTTGACATGAGCCGTATGCATTAAACTGTGATTTCAATCAATTGAACAAAGACAAGCTGCTTAAATCAATTGACTCTGGTCTCGTTATCGTCGTCCCTCCGCCGAACCCCGCGAATGACTATTGTATTGAAGAGCTCTAAAGCTCGTCTCGAGGTTCCCCGGTTTCCCACCCGATGGAGCCGGATATTGTGGAATTGCTCCGAGGGAGAGGCTGTTCACCAATCAAACATTGCTCCACCGCACCAAAAATTGCCCACTTGAATCTCGTCGCGACTTGATAATACCGAGACTCTCGCGTCGACCACCTTGCGCCTCTGGGTGTCCACCCGTTCTGCTGCCTGAAGAAGGTCACTTTATCGTGCATAGATCACGTACGTCATGGCAGATGCCTCGTGTGGCATCCGCAAGCCGCGAAAGTCCCGGGGTAGGGGGCTGCGTGCCACTACCGGATGGTCCGTTTCTATTCGCAATCTGCGCTGTGTATAGTCACGTCGCCTGTGCATATCACTGACGGAAGTAGCCTAGTTTGCAAGCGGCGTCATGTCAAATGCGACGAAGTCAGTAGTTGACCACCTGGGTTTCCTGACAGTATCCCCTTCGGTAACTGATTTCAACCTCGTACCAGGTTCGTCCCCAATGCGGGCCTTGCGCCAAGGGCCAACGCCCGTGTGTTTATGGCGGTAGCGATAGTATATCACAACGGATTGATGCTTCTTCCGACAGAACAATACATCGCACAATTTCACCACAGTCGCAAATCCATGAGCCCCTGCGAGTTCTGGTGGACGCATGCCATCAAGAACAGCCGGTTCGACATCCTACAGATGCCTTTCGTCAGAAGTCTGTTACACCATCCCCGGGCCCGGGCTCTACTAGAACTGTTTCTCGGCATGGCCAGGGGCTGTCTCCGCATTCTCCCCTGGGATATGTACCATCACCCGGTACAGAGTCATCGTCCACGTCCACCAGATTGGCACCGTTGAGCTGGTTCGAACTACTTGCCAATGATGCCGCCAGTGCGGATAGAGATTTTCTATTGTCTCCACCACACCAAATCCCTCCATCCGTGGCAGTAGAATCCCCGGTCGCTCAACCGCCAAGCTCGGATTTGCAGCCTCATAACCAACGCGAACGTGAAAGCTTCCAAGCGGCTTCTTTCCGGCGAGACCCTGAGATTGACGAGAGACTAGTCGCGGCGCCAGTCGAGGATGCGCCGGCAGCATTGCCGGACGAATACTCCTCCTGGAGTACTGCGACACCCATCGAGCTGTCGGACCAGGACCATTTCATGTTCGACCATTTTGTGCGGACACTAGGCGCGTGGATGGATTTCTTTGACCCGACACTGCAACTTTCTACCACACTACCGCATCTGGCTCTGAGAAATATCGGACTAATGAAGGCACTTTTAGCTCTTTCGGCACGGCATCTCTCGCTGTCGAGCGAGACTAACCAGTATCAACACAACCGCACAGCTACCGAAAAAGCCAATCCTTCCGACATTGCAGATTCCGAGAAGGAAGTCGCTTCCACCGTCAATCGCAATCTTGCTGTTCAGTATTACTACGAAACGCTGCAATATTTAAACAAGGCGATGCATTATCCCTCTTACACTCGCAGTGCCGAGTTGATCTGTACGGCCCTTCTCATTAGCACGTATGAGATGGTTGACGGCTCCAACTATGATTGGGAGCGACATCTCAAAGGGGTTTTCTGGATCCAGCGTTTCCAAAATAACAACGGTGAATCTGGAGGTATCCGACAAGCAGTTTGGTGGTCTTGGCTTCGACAGGATGTCTGGGTAGCCATGCGAGAGCGTCGTCGAGTTTTCTCATTCTTTCAGCCTCGAAAGCCGTATTCCATGTTAGACACTGCTGGGTTTACCTGTCGTGCATACTATTTACTATCACAATGCGTGAACTACGCCTCTCGGGAAGAATCCAAGACCACTGACATACAGCAACGCCTGGAGCGAGGGAACGAATTACTATTTATGCTGCAAGAGTGGCAGGATTACCTGCCGCGGGAATTCAGGCCACTTCCACAGAAGCAGACTGCTGAGACTTTCCCACCGATCTGGATCTACCCTTCTCCATACGCCGCGGCTGTGCAGCTGCACAGTTTGGCCCGCATCTTGGTGGTGTTGCATCGTCCTTCAATCGGCGGCCTCCAGGACTACCGCGCCGCGCAAAGACTGCTTGCAGCGTCTGTCAGTACCGTCTGCGGAATAGCGCGCATGATTAAAGAAAAAGATATCCCCGCTAGTTTCGTGTCACTCACTTGTCTATTTGGAGGTAGTCAAGCCCTCTTCATTCTAGAATTATAGCACTTGCTAACCCTAACTCCCTCTCAGCTGGAATGAGCGTTCACGCTCCCCATGAACGAACGGTGTTGTTGGATCTCATCGAAACCTTCCAGCACCGGATTCGTTGGCCGGTCGATTCATTGAGAAAGGAGCTTGAATCTGAATATCAAAAAGATGAGCTCTCTGCCTTCGCTGGTTGAGAACCTGTCGAATATAACAAAATCACTTCGATTCCTCTTCCGAAGCAGCAGAACGACGGTCCCATATGGCATAAATGGTTATAAGACCTTGTCTGGAGAGAGAGCCAATCTTGCCGGGTTCGAATAGCCACATGTACGGCGATTATTCCTTTATTTACGCCATCACACTAGATGCAGTGATGCTATGCTGTAGGCGGCCCTCTGTTTCTCTGGAAAATTTCTCCCATCCCCGATCGTGTGGTCTTCATTTATACAGAGGGTGATAGCGCCTGGATTATTATACTCCTTCGAGGGTGACTAGTTTGCACAGATGACCTGATGCAAAACATGGCCAATATTGATCCAGTTGACACAAGTCAGTTCCAAGAAGCCGAAGGCTTGATGTATAATAGGAATGTAAATTTATCATTATCATTTCTCATTATCAGTATATATTTTCATTCCTCTTGTTGTTCATTTTCTGTGTGCTTTGCACGGTGGCGGAACCAGAAGTGCAACGCCAGGTATACTACAACACCCAAGGCTAACATTGCTGATATGACGGAAAATCCCATGGTGTACTTTGGACTGTCGGATTCCGGAAACAGGTACTATAATGCGGTTAGTAAGAAAAGGAAGGTTGTTTGTTGCAAGCCACAATACTGACCGAGCCATAGATCTGCGCTAGGTTTCCTAGAGCATTCACCAACGCGAGACTTATACCCCTTGTCTGTGGATGCATGCTCGAAAATGCTGACGAGGCATAGGCAAGACTCATTCCATTAGTCGTCCACAGACCAGAAGCCATGAGCACGAGAAGCGCATATCGAGCGGTGTAATCATACACTGCACACACCGCGATTGAACATATAAGCGAGAACGTCAACCAGCAAGAGATTATGAGGCCTCGCCATGACGGGATTTTATCACTGAAATAGGATGTGATCAATGTGCAGAAAAATGCAACGCCATAAATAGGGATGGTCAGGAAGTTTGTCCTCTCGGTGGAGGAATCTCCGAAGAGACCTTCGATCAAAGTGGGATAAAAGTACGAGAGCGTACTAGAGCCAACGATGACCTGCTAATTGTCAGCTTTGTCACCCTATACAGAAACAATGGAATGGGAACGTACCATGTACCCTACGACAAACATCCAGGTTCGCCAATCCTTAACCGAATCAATCATAGCTTGCTGGGGCGACAGTTGCTCACTGTCTTGGGTCATCGCAGTGACATCGTCTGCTAATCTGGCAACGGCAATGCTTCGCTGTCGCTCTGAGAACCTCTTGGACGTGGCAGGGAAGTCTGGGAGGACAAAGGCTGCAATCAAGGCAACCCCAACCGTTGCAGCTCCTTCCACGATAAAGAGCCAACGCCAGCCTCTGATTCCGTGCGCTCCTTCCAGCCCTTTGACGATTACAGCTGCAAGCAGGCCTCCAAAGGCACCGGATAGGATAGCAGCGGAGATATAAACACCAAATCGCTTGGCCTGTTCCGTCCGCCTATACCAGGATGCAATCACCATGAGAACGCCTGGTGCAAATCCTGCCTCGACACAACCTACGGCCATTAGATAAGTATTCGGAGATGAGGTTCCTCGAGTACTTGCCTATGATTGCGCGCAAAGCCACGAGTTGTTTGAAGTCCTTGACGGCGCCCATGACACAGGTCAATGCGCCCCATAGCGCCATAATCCCTGACAGGAACAGGGATGGTCTTACTCGACTGAGGAGCATACTATACCCAGCATGTTAGCACTGTAGCCTGAGGGAGTCATGGATACACACTTGCTGGGCACTTCAAAGACAACATAGCCAATGAAGAACACAACTAAGGCAATAGAGTATTGGTCCGATGTCAGGTCCAAATCAGTCTCCATGCCCGAAATCTTTGCGTTTCCGATACTATGTGCGATCCTGTGTCAGTCCCGCTGTCACGACTCAGTCCACCAGAATTTACATACTTTGTTCGGTCCATGTACGACAGCAAGTACATAATCCAGACCATAGGCAGGAGGACCAAATCAATTTTCCTCACTAGAGTTTTCTCCTCTTCCGGGGACCAAAACGGAGCCTCTGGGCCTGCATTTTCGATCTCCTTGGAAGTTATATCCCCTTTCTCTTCGATCTCGAGACTACCCGCCATCTTGTAACCAACGTCGGATGAATTGCTGAATAGCAGTCTTTATAGCAGCTGTAACAATATCGCAGGGTCTGGTAGCATGGGAGCCATGTCTGGTAGGCATCGCCGGATATTTATCTGTTTCCTTGCATACGGAATGTGTCCAGGATCTCGAGTAACATCGCCGGAAATCATCGTCATTGATAGGAAGATGCCGCCATGGATAAGCATAAGTGTCCAAAGATGGCATAAATGCAGACAGGGATACACTTGATTTCTTAATCTGGTTGGTTTTCTGGATGACAATACTGCCATCTGCACCCCGCGCTGTCATGCTCCATTGGGCTGATGGTGTCCACCTCCACAAAGCACCCCGCAAAGTTTATCCGGCTCTCTTTGAGACCATTTTCAACTGCCTTTGGAGCAGGGGGTCTGACAAGCTTGACGGCAGCGTGCACTTTGCGGGGGACCGAGGATGCCTCGAGTCGAGGCAGACCGGCTTGCTCGGATCCGTGCCGACTGGGAAAGCCAAGCTATCCGGAGTAATATGATGGACCTATTCGTTGAATAAAACCCCCACAGTCATCACGGCTGTGACTATATCTCATTGACGTCGAAAAGATTACAATGAAGAAAAAAAACCTCCCATTCGCCGTCTTTCACGAACTTTCAGGATTACCGCGATACGAACCGAGCGTGGATGGCCTCGAGCCGAAGATCTGGGGCGTCGGGGCATAGCCGATGTTCTAGTTTGGAGAGTGACCAAGCAGACTTCATCCCTGCGGGTCGTGTACATGTGGGGTTAAACAGGAGGAGTATTAAAGAGCCCCGTCTCTTATATGTGAAGAACATCTGCTCTCTTACGTCTCTCAATTGATATCTTTCGAAACAGTTATACTTGTACTTGATCAAAATGACTGCGACCGAGAATGGAACCAACTCTGGGACGCAGTCCTATGTTAACACCATGCCCAGCTCGGATTTCACCTGGCAAATCACGCTGGCGGAGAAAGTGATCGCAATCACCGGTGCAAATCGGGGAATTGGTCTCGGAATCGCAGAGGTCTGCTTTGCCAATTCGGCCAAGGCTGTTTACTCGCTGGATCTCATGGAGCCGGGTGAGGACTTTGCGGGATTGCAGAAGAAATACCCGAATTTTCGGTATATTCAAACGGACGTGACTTCGGAGGAGAGCATCCAGAATGCCGTTGATCAGATCGTAGAGGAAAATGGACGGGTCGATGGGTTAGTTGCCAACGCTGGCATGACCAAACATCAACCGGCACTCCAATTCGACCGTCCGGAATTGGAGAAGCTGTTCAATCTCAACGTGAGTACTCTCCGAGAGGTTCCTTTGTCGATTAGGCTGACTGTCGCAGGTCTTCGGAGCATACTTTTGTGCTCAGATATTCGCACGGAAATTTATGGAGCTGGGCATTAAGGGATCCATTGTTATGACTGCAAGTATGACTTCGTATCGGCCGAATCGGGTTAGCATTGAGTCCATCATCAACAAAGTCAATCATTAATCCTATCTTAGGCTGCTCCCTCTGCACCATACGGCGCCACGAAAGCGGCCGGTAAGTTCATAATCCCGTATCATCCTTGTTACGTTGGTCCAGCTAACCGTCGGTGCCTGTCTCCAGTCCGGAATATGTGCCACACGTTAGCCATGGAATGGAGCAAACACGGCATTCGTGTCAACAGTATCTCGCCGGGATTCGTCAGAACAGCCATGACCTACTACGTCGAACACGCGCCTGACTGGGACCTCAAGATGCAATACTACGGTGGGATGCCGCGTCTGGCTGACCCTCGCGAGCTGGGAGGGGCCTATGTGTACCTGTTGAGTGATGGAAGCTCGTATACTACGGGAATTGACATTCCAATCGCTGGTATTGTTGGAGCTTGGTAGGGATGGGCGTAACATGGCAGTTACCGGTTTTACATGGATGGCGGGATGCATCATCTCTTTTTGCATTTGACATGTATATTGCATATTTCATTAAATATATCTACTGTTGGGTAATGGATTAAACATACCCGTCAATACTCGACGGACATTCTTTTAAGGCTACGGAAAACATGGCTATATCTGATTCGAAAACGTTCATCCATTCATTATATTCATCATAAACCGTGTCGGTACTGTCTGACACAACTAATCCATGATATAATCCACGTACCCTTCCCGTATCCTTCCCAAACGCCATTATGGTACAACGAGCCCGAGGTCTGATCTAGTTAGAGATCTTATCCGGAACGTGCTTGCTATTGGCGGTGTATTAGAAAGCGCAATCATAAGTCTTCAACAGCATGAACCACTTACCCAGTCCTGCTCTCGAACTGCTGACGACCGGCGTCGGTGATCTTTTCGTTGGTGCCACGCAACTTGGACGGGTCGGCGCCATACTTCTTCTCAACCGAGTCGAGGCCTGTGTTCATTAGCAAGGGAATACTCGTAGGCTTGTGTGGGTAGAACACACCCTTGTCGACGTAGTCTTCCTGGTTGTTGGAGGAGCCGCCGCCGCTGCTGCCGCCCTGCTGGTGGCTCTGGCCCTTGCCGCCGAGCTTGGATGCGAGACCGGAAAGCTTGTCCATGGTTTTGTGTTTGTAGTGGTGGTGTGCTGTGGATATAGGGTATCACTGCAGAAAGTAGGGAATTGGGTGTGTCGAAGAAGGGAAGTAACAGGTCCGGACGAGGCCTTTATATAGCCTTGGAACACCCCTTCCCTCCCTCCGGCATCGTACCAGAGAATCAAATCCCTAAGCCTTATGGGAGATTGCACTCCACCTGGATCCAGGAATGTCCAGGTGTGATTCGCGTGTGGAAATCGCCACAACCGGATCTCATCGTCATATCAACTCTATCCGGCTGAGAACGGATTATCAGTGATATCAGATGCTATGAATAGCACGCCCTGTACGGGGTACAAGAGTAGTCATTGGAATGATAGACATCTGAAGCGTTCAGCCTTGTTTGTACCCTTGTACGTACAAAATAGTGGTAGCGGAGTAGGGTACCCCTCGGTGGATGACGTCAGGTAGCTGAGTACACGGCCACTTGTGGCTGATGACGTCGTTTTATGTGGCGGTGCGGATTGCCTACTTGAAACAGTCAAGCAGTCTTCCTTGTCTTGGGTTGCCGAGGACAATGAGTTGCCGGGTATACGAACATAGCGCCCATGGTCAACATTGCGACTATTTCATGTCCTGAACATTTTTCTCCCTTACCTGATCTCCCTGGCAGCATGGAAGAGCATTTCCGAGGCTAGTCAATGCCACCATAGACATCTCCCTCCGGCCAGACCCAGAAGGAAATCTCGCGATCAACTCAACTCGGTAAATAATGCACCGAGTGTTCACCCCTCACGCTTCCCCAGATTCTATCAAGCCGGGGTTGATTCCCCTCATTCGGAAATGCCCCGAATACGAGCTTGCAGAGTTGATCGACGAGGTTGCTATATAAGGCTGAGAATGGCAGTTCTGGGGAATGATGGGACGGGGTGATTATCGACGAGCACCAGCATCATGGACAAGGCAGCCGAAGAGTTCGTGGAGTACCGCGAGACTAAAGATGTCCAGACAGAGCAAGATGCTTTGTATCAAGTCTATGGCGCCAAGGGGCCGGAATGGCATCAGCGAATGAACCGGAAAGTGTTGCGCAAAGTCGACTGGCATCTGCTGCCGTTTCTGGTGTTGATGTATCTGTTGAACTTTTTGGATCGGAAGTGTGCAACAAGGTTTCTCATCGGGACATGCAGTGACTGACATGGATAGTAACTTGTCGCAAGCACGTCTCGGTACTCTCGAGAAGGACCTGAACATGAAGGGGACCGACTATAATCTAGCGACAAGCATCCTCTTCGTCGGATATCTTCTCATGCAGCTGCCGTCGAATCTGCTTCTGACAAAGATCCGACCATCGCTATTCCTGGGCATCGCCATGGCCATTTGGGGTGCCATCTCAGCTTGTCAAGCGGCAGTAACCTCATTCACTGGATTGGTGGTGTCTCGGTTCTTTCTGGGATTTGTCGAGGCACCATTCTTCCCCGGAGCGGTGATGTTGATGTAAGTGGTCGTTAATGGATCACAACTCGCAAAGACTGACTGAGCAGGTCGAGTTGGTATACCCGACAAGAGGTTTGTCCCGCCAAACATACTATGGAAGCGAACGTGGTTAACTTGGACAGTTGGGCCATCGGATCGCCTGGTTTTATGCTGGCAGCTCCCTCGCCAACGCATTCGGAGGGCTAATCGGCGCGGGCGTGTTAGGAAACCTGGATGGAGCGCATGGGATCTCCGGGTGGCGATGGCTGTTTATCATAGAAGGCTGCATCACAGTCGGAATATCCCTGCTATCTTCGTAAGTGATCGTCCCTGGTCAGGTTGTTAGTGTCCATCCTTACATTGCAGAATCTTCCTTCCCAATTATCCCGGGACCACCTCATGGCTGGACGAAGAGGAACAAGCATACGCTCAATGGCGACTGATTCATGACGCCGGTGAGGCTGATGACACGGAGACTGGGAATATATCAGAAGCGCTTCGATTAGTGCTTACGGACCCACGTATCTATCTATTCACCCTGTTGCAGCACACGTCGCTGTTGTCGCAGAATTTTCAGTACTTCTTCCCGACTATTGTGCAAACATTGGGCTATGGTAATATCGAGACCCTGCTCATCACGGCCCCCGTGTGGATTGCAACCTTCCTAGTCTCCTTGGTTGTGACATGGACGTCTGGGAAGACCAATGACCGCAGTATCCACATTATTTCGTTGATGTTGGTGAGCGTGGCAGGGGCCATAATCTGCACGACCACCACCAGCCTTGGGGCCCGATTCTTCGCCATGTTCTTGTAAGTGATATGTTTAGACAAAGCGTACACCGTGTTTCCATGGCTGATGTCATTCCTACCCGACAGAATGCCCATGGGGGCTGTTTCAGCGTACCAAATCATTATCGCTTGGGTCGCCAATTCGTTCCCTCGGCCCCTAGTCAAACGGTCCGCAGCCATCGCCATAGCCAACATGCTAGGTAACACAGCCTCCATCTATGGAAGCTACATGTGGCCGTCATCCTCGGGACCGCGGTATATTCCGGGGGGGAGTGCTACCGCAGGTGTGGCTTTGCTGGTGGCCATGTTGGCAATGGTGATTCGGATGGTGCATGCCAGAATGAACCGACAACTGCAGGAGCAGGAGGAATCCACTGAGAGCGGAGAATCTTCGCAGCATCCGGTCGGATTTCGGTACATTCTCTAAGACGCTAGACAGCGTGCAGGAATTGGACTGCCTGCGGAATTCGACAAAAAAAATGGAGAACAAAACGGTGTTGCCTGGCAGGGGAAATTTGTCGGATATGGCCGGATCAGCCTTAAGGCTGAGTGCATGTCAAAACGAATACGAGACTGTTTATATAAAGGTCCAGGGTCTTTTGATCAAGAATACCATTCATCTCTATATTCCAACATATCATGAAATTCTCCGCCGTTTCCTGGGCCTGCTCATTTGCTGGCCTTGCTGTTGGTATGTACTAACACTCCGGAAGAATACACAGTTCAACTAACCCTGTACAGCGACTCCCACACCATCGGACGTAAATCTCGCCATTGCACTCTCCCGACGGGCTCTGCCGAATGCTCCCGATGGCTATACTCCTGCCAATGTCACCTGTCCGGCGAACCGTCCCAGTATTCGAGGCGCCGGATCGTTATCCTCCAATGAAACAGAATGGCTTCGGACACGTCGGGATGAGACCATCGAGCCGATGAAAGATTTCTTCGACCGTATCTCGATTCCGTCCTTCGATGCCGTATCGTATATCAAGGACCACGCCAGCAATGTGTCGGAGTTGCCGAATATCGCCATCGCCGTATCTGGAGGAGGATACCGTGCGTTGACTAATGGAGCAGGTGCCTTGAAGGCATTTGACAGTCGAACTGAGAATTCTACCAGCTCTGGGCACCTTGGAGGACTGCTGCAATCCTCCACATACGTATCGGGACTGAGTGGTGGAAGTTGGCTGCTGGGATCGGTCTATCTCAACAACTTCACCACCATCTCTGCGCTGCAAACTCATGACAAAGGGGACGTTTGGCAGTTCAGTCGGTCGATCCTCAAAGGACCAGACGATGGCGGCATCAAGATCCTTGACAGTGCTCAGTACTGGCGGGACCTCGTGCACATGGTGGACGGAAAGAAGGATGCTGGTTTCAACACATCGCTGACCGATTACTGGGGTCGTGCACTGTCCTACCAGTTCATCAACGACACTGATGGGGGTGCGGATTACACCTGGTCCTCGATAGCCCAGACGGACGACTTCAAAGCAGGCAAGATGCCCATGCCGCTTGTCGTAGCTGATGGCCGTGCACCTGGGGAGCTTGTGGTCGGAAGCAACTCGACCGTCTACGAGTTTAACCCTTGGGAGTTTGGCTCCTTCGATCCTACCATCTTTGGCTTTGCTCCACTGGAGTACCTCGGCTCACCATTCGAAAACGGGGAACTCCCTCAGGATGCATCGTGTGTTCGGGGGTTCGACAATGCAGGCTTCGTGATGGGCACGTCGTCAACCTTGTTCAATCAAGGCTTGCTCCGGTTGAACAAGGCAGACCTGCCAGATGTCATCAAATCAGTCGCCACTCACATTTTGGAAGACATCGGAGAAGCTAACGATGATATCGCCATCTACTCACCTAATCCATTCTACCGCTACCGCAACTCTACCGCCGCTTATTCCAGCGCTAATGACCTGGATGTGGTCGACGGTGGTGAAGACCAGCAGAACCTCCCCCTTCATCCATTGATTCAACCACAGCGAGAGGTTGACGTGATCTTTGCTGTTGACTCCTCGGCGGACACATCTTATAACTGGCCCGATGGACACTCGTTGGTGGCCACATACGAACGCAGTCTCAACTCGACGGGCATTGCCAACGGCACGGTCTTTCCAGCGGTCCCTGATCGCCACACCTTTATAAACCAAGGCTTGAACGAGCGTCCAACGTTCTTTGGTTGCGATGCGGCCAACCTTACCGGCCCGGCACCCCTGGTGGTGTATCTCCCCAACTCTCCTTACAGCGCATATTCCAACACGTCGACCTTCCAGCTCAAGTACTCGGATGAGGAGCGGGACTCGATCATCACGAATGGGTACGAAGTGGTCACCATGGGCAATGCCACCGAGGATAAAGACTGGCCGACGTGCGTTGGCTGCGCGATTCTTTCGCGTTCGCTGAACCGGACGGGAACGACGGTGCCGCAGGCATGTCAGACATGTTTCCAGAGATACTGTTGGAATGGAACCGTCGACAGTCGTGATCCTGGGGACTATGAACCATCGCTGTTGCTGTCGACGTCGACTTCGGGGTCTAGCAGGAAGTCGTTGAACCGCACGGCAGCTGTGATTGCATTGGCCGCGGTGTTCCTTGCAACAATATAAAGCACTTATTTAGGTTTTGAGTTCGGTGTAGGATGATATATTTGAGCGTTCTATGTATTTGCATTTTCAAAACGAGCTGGCTTCTTTTTTTCCTCTCTTTCTTCTCTGTAAATCCCTGGCAGCCATCTCGGCCCCCCGTAGTATGTCCTCTTGTCATTGCTTCCCATTCCTCTGGATATTCTGCGGGACCCGTGTCACATTCATCAAGCTATGCCATCAAGTTTATGGATAAAAGTTGGTTCCATTTTCTCCATACTTTTACTGGGCATATCTGACGCCAGTATGAGATCCCTCTCTTGTTTCCTCTTTAAACCTCCGACACGTTGCTGTCTCTTTTCCCAAGTGACCTGGAGCAGTCCTCGGCGGTTTCAAGAAACATGAGGAAAGTTTAATTCGAAATCGCCACGGCGTAGCTACTGGTCTGCAAAAATCCCTGTACGCTCGCTGCATGGACATGCTAGACGCAACGCCCGCTCATCGTATAAAGAATCTCTTAAGGTTCTCAATATCGCAGCTAGCGTAAAGGCCCAATCTGAATGACAAATGAGAGCCAGAAATTCAGTCCGCGAAACACTTTTGGACAAATGCATCGCCATCGCCGACGAGAGGGGAAAGGGGATCGATAGTATGATCGAGGAGCATTTAACGCTTTCGGATTATCACCAAGTGGTCCGGCTTTACCGCTTATGCCCTGTTATTCCATAGTTGTCTCCTTGGCTTGAAATCCACTCCGAACGTATGCATATAGGTCTTCATGTGAGATATTCTCAGTCGACATGTCTTGTAGAACAACTGCAAAAGCCTCGGTCTACAAAGGCACATTCTTTAATTCCGTTACCAGGGGATCTGCAGATCCACTACGTTCCTGAATCACGAATGATCTGTATTATCCACTGCCGACATTCCTTATTGGGCCTGCTTCGGGATCTGATATTCATGCAAATGCACTACCCGGCGCCATTCTTAGCTCTATAGGCCTGATTTGTCGGTAGTGGACAATGGAACAACCATACGAACTTTATTCTGTTGGGCATCCAATCGGCGATGGCAATAAATAGTGCCCCTAACTATTGTGACCCTGCTTTCGCATTTTTGAGATCGGCCACTATTGCCGAATACGGTCAATCTCACTGCTCCGTGCGAGCTATGGCTGCCAGAGATGTCACAAAGATGAAAATACAAGTATTTTGAACAAACACCCAAGTCTGGTGTCAAATATTAGGACATCCAGGCTAAACCGAGGGTCGGACTTCCGCGGCCGAAACTGGAGTCTTATAATATTCACCGGTCGCTGAGTCTACCGAAATATCCGGCCATTCGGGGCAATATTGGCAGAAAAGATGCGATACCAACACATCCTGGGCTGTGTGGCCTCCTCAATGGCCGTTGGTGCCGTCGCGGGGCCGGTTGACAGCCATCCTGACTCTATCCTCCAGTCCCGCGACTTGATCGGAGACCATGAATTCGACTATGTCGTGGTTGGTGGCGGAACAGCCGGAAATGTCATAGCTACTCGCCTAGCACAGCAGTCCTTTTCGGTAGCTCTGGTCGAGGCCGGTGGTCTGTATCAGTTGGAATCTTTCCAGGCCATTCCTGGTGCAGACGTTCTGGTTGTTGGATCGGATCCCGATTCAAAATCGTCCGTGGACTGGGGTTTTGTCGCAGAGAATCAACCCGGGGCCAACGGACGGGATATCCATTATGCTCGCGGGAAGTGCCTCGGGGGGTCGTAGGTCATGGCCCGAGATGTAAGAGAGAATAAGACAACTGACTTATTGCAGGTCCGCGCTGAACTTCATGATATACCAAAGGTCAGTTACTACAACATTCTTGGGAAGGAATACGACCTGACCTTGGCAGGCCCAGCATAGAGTCGATGCAGCAATGGGCAGAAGCCGTCAACGATACCAGTTACACCTTCGAAAATCTCCTTCCCTACTACAAAAAGAGCGTGGAATTCACTCCTCCAAATGAAAACACCCGCTTCAGCAATGCTACTACCGGCTTCGACCCCGCCGCGTTTAACGATCAAGGAGGCCCACTGCATGTGTCCTATTCTAACTACGCAATGCCATTTTCAACCTGGATGAAGCTGGGAATGGAGGCGATCGGGATCAAGGAGCAAAAGGATTTCAATCTCGGGACTATCATGGGCGCGCAATACTGTTCGTCGACCATCCGGCCCAGTGACGAGACCAGGAGCAGCTCCCAGTCCTCCTACCTAGCGAGCATCAAGCCTGCGAGCCGAAAGGTCTATAGCAATACCCTGGCAAAAAAGATTATTTTCGACGACGACAAGAAGGCTACCGGAGTGCAAGCTCAGGGAACCTTGGGAACTTTCAACCTCACGGCTAAGAAGGAGGTCATTGTCTCTGCAGGCGCCTTTCAGTCGCCTCAGCTGTTGATGGTGTCGGGGGTTGGTCCAGCAGAGACGCTCCATGAGCATAACATCGATCCGGTGGTCGAACTGTCTGGTGTTGGCCAGAACATGTGGGATCATCCATTCTTCGCGCCTAGCTACCGAGTGAACGTCCAAACACTCACCCAATCTGCTTCCAATCTCCTCTCCTTGCTCACGCAGTTCTTTGACAAGGCCATTCCACACACCGGACCTCTCACCAATCCTATTTCCGACTACCTGGCTTGGGAGAAAATCCCAGAGAGCCTGCGTTCCAAGTTCACCGATTCAGCTGAGAATGATCTAGAGCAATTTCCAAACGATTGGCCCGAAGCAGAGGTAATATTACATGGACCATACTTCCGAGGCATCAGCTAACTCAAATTGATCAGTATATTTCCGGCGCCGGATACATCGGAAATGTGTCCAACCTCCTATTAGATCAGCCAAAGGATGGTTATCAGTATGCCTCCATGCTCGGAGTGTTGGTCGCTCCGCTGTCTCGAGGAAATGTGACGCTCCAATCTGCGGACACATCAGACCTGCCCATCATCAACCCCAACTGGTTGGACAGCAAAACCGATCAAGAGATGGCAATCGCCATGTTCAAACGAATGCGCCAGGCTTTCGGAAGCGATGCCATGGCTCCTGTGGTAATTGGCGAGGAATACTACCCCGGGAAACAGGTGCAATCGGACGAGGAGATCCTCGAGTTCATCAAGAACAACATCATGACTCTATGGCATGCTGCGTGTACCTGTAAGATGGGCACGTCGGACAATCCCATGGCCGTTGTCGACCACGAAGCCAAGGTCTTTGGGGTTCAGGGACTGCGTGTGGTGGATGCAAGCGCATTCCCGTTCCTGCCTCCAGGTCACCCACAATCCACAGTGTGTAAGTAGCATCGATCTGGCGCTTAAATGACCGATACTGACTGCGTTTTAGACATGCTCGCAGAGAAGATCTCAGACCTGATTATCAACTCGGAAAAGCAATGAGGTGTTATCTGTTGGCAGACTTTTCATTGGGAGTGTATAATGGTATTTTTCCTTAATAGTACATAGGCGTAATCACTATATATTGGCGACTATGTCTTGAGCATTAAAATGAAACTTGGACTTGGGCACAGACCATGAATGAGAATATATATCTTGGGTAGTCACTTTGATCACATCCCCCAACTCCATTCCGTCCAACGGAATCAATTTTCGGCTTCTGCTACTTCTGTATGTTCAAGCGATGATAAAGCTGATTCAGAGTACTACCGTGGTCTAATCGTCCTCCCATGGACCAAAAACGCTCTACTGCTTGCTATGAAGGAACAATTGCCTCAAGTGGCTTTTTTCTTATTCTAATTAGGTACAATAGGTCGGCGGGGATTAAAGACAGGGAAATAAGGGATATATGATATAAAAGAAAGGAAGATTGATCAAGCAGTCATCGACATCTCAGAGTTCCACTCCGTGCGTGTATTCGGGGAGACAAGAGTGCTTTTGCCTAAAATGGTCCGAGCCAAGGCATGCACGGAATCACTCGTGAGAATCTCTAGAATCTGCAAGTTGGCTTCCAGCTCTCGTGTAATCCAATTACGGATCTCAATTGCTACCAGTGAGTCCAGGCCGTAGCCGGAAATGTGCGCTGACGGATCAACCTCATCCACCGGACGCATCAGGGTATTGGCGATCTTGTGCACCACAGCATCGACAACCAATGATTCGGCACTTGAATAGCTGGAAGCGTGTCGTACAGCGGATGCTGGTGACACTTTGGTATCAAGCTGCTGGATCTGGGTCGAATCAAGCTCCGACAGAATGGACGAGCGAAGCAAATGCGATAGCTTCGGATCTTGCGCCCAGAATGGTAGCTCCTTGACAGGTGTGGTTTTGACGCCATTCAGACCGAGCAGGCAATGATTGTTGGCGGAGTGTTCCATCTCGTTCCGCATTGCCGCTGCAAGAACTGCGCGAATATCTGAAGCATCGATAGAAACACCTCCAAGCTGGTGGCTGGCGTCCTCTTGTCGCTTCTGGTCCGCAGCCAGGTATCCAACATCTCGCACCATAGGCAGATCTATGGTCCGGCAGGGAACCCCAGCGAGCGAGGGATACTGGGCCATAGCGGCCATAAAGGTACCGCTGGAGGTGTATGCGGCTTGTCCCATCGTACCGACAACACTGGAGAGCGACGAAAGATTGATAAAGAAGTCCAACTTGAACTCTTTCTGACGTTGCAGGACCCGTTGAAGGTTCAGAATACCGTGCATTCGAGGCCGAATCACCGCATTGTAGTCCTCAAGACTCATCTTCTCAAATAGCATATCCTGTATCATGGTTAGAAGAACTGACAGGGCCTACAATCAAATGGCCAGAGATACACTTACCCGAAGGACCATGGCACCGTAAACAACCCCACGAGCCGGAGGCATTCGATTCAGTACTGGTACCAACGCTTGCGCTAAATCGGCCGAATCGCCAATGTCGCAGCGACACACTTCCACCCTTACGCCCTCTGCTTCGAGCGTTCGCAGTGCCTGTTGGGACTCCTCACTTGCTGCACCGCTCCGGGATATGAGAATCAGATGCCGTGCACCCTTTTCTGGCAGCCATCGGGCGATGTCGAGCCCAATTCCTCTTGTGCCACCGGTCACAATGTACGAAGCATCACGAGAGAGGATATCTTCCGGTCTACGTGTTGGGTGAACCTATAACCAAACACAGTTAGCAAACATAACGAGCGACAAGCAGCAAACGAATGTCTTACCTTAACCATTGCATCCTTCCCCATTTGAATAACGATCTTCCCCGTGGTGCGACCTCCCTGTAAAGCTCGGAATGCGGACTCGAGCTCAGCAATGGAGAAACTGGTTATCGACCATCGTGCCTGTGTTTCAGGCTTACCAAAGAAGCGGAATGATTCACCAAGCAACCGCTTCGACAACGCAGGACGTGTTCGGATGATCAGGGATAAATCTACCGAGGAGAAAGACACGTTTTTGTCAAAATGGACCATCTCCAATCGGGCATTCTGGATAATGTCACGTTTCCCTAACTCCACGAAGCGTCCAAATGGAGCCAAACATTCAAAAGTTGCCCGCAAAGCGTCGCCAGTCAGCGAGTTCAATGCCACGTCCACCCCCTGCCCACCCGTGGCTTTGTGGATGCCGGTTGCGAATGACGTGTCTCGACTAAAAAAGATTTGGTCTTCTCCGAGCTGGTAGGTATTCATTAGAAAACGCTTCTTGTGCTCGCTGCTGACTGTTGCGAAGACCTTGGCTCCGATTTCCTGGGCTATCATGATAGCGGCTTGTCCAACACCTCCCGCAGCGGCATGAATGAGAACAGACTCTCCCAGAGTAAGCCTGCCAATGTCGACAAGAGAATAATACGCAGTCGCAAACACCAACGGAGCGGATGCAGCAAGTTCAAGGTTCATTGTGTTCGGCACTCTCCACACGCTAGACGCTGGGCTTCGTACGTGACTCGCGAGCGACCCCGGAGCCGTCGAACATACGCGGTCACCCACACGGAAATCATCGACAGCAGCCCCAACAGCCGTGATAATACCGCTGCACTCTTGGCCAAGCTGTCCTCCTTGGATCTGCGACATAGCGACTAGGACATCGCGGAAGTTGAGGCCGACATATTGGACCTGAATCTCGACCAGGTCATCCGGTAGGGGCGAGCGAACGGCCTCATGGTCTGTGAAGAAGCAATCGGCCAGAACACCATCACCTGCAGGAACCATTTTCAAGGGCCTCGATGGCTGCCAGAGTGCCTGATTCTGGGGTGGCGCATGTTCCGTGTCCTGGAAAAGGTGTTCATTCAATTCCGGATCGTCCACGACCCGAGAAACGCAAACTCGTCCCTGCTGGACGACATAATCCATATCCCCGTGGCGAAGAACAGACGAGTTGCAGAAAACGTCGTTGAAAACATCCCGTATTCTGTCCGCGACTTGATTCTCTGGAAGACTACCCTTAACGCCGACATCCAGTGTAGCAAATGGCAGACTTGTCTCCGATCGCACCGTCCTAGCCAGTCCAACGGCCAAGTGCGCACCAAGTGACTCTGGTCCAGTGCTTCCCTTTTGGATAACCCACAGGACGCCATTGGAGCGAGCCAACATCTTCTGAAGCGCTTGGAAATGCTCCTTGGTCAGAGAAGATAACAGTGGAGTATCCGGATCATCAACAAAGATGCACAACTTGCCCGTCGGGTCTGTCGTTAAATCCCTCGTGTTCACGGCTCCCCCAGTGATATCCTTCAGCTTTTGCTGTAGCGCACGGCAGAGACTTGGAATCAGGAATCCTGCATTTATGATAATGGCATCGCTGGAAGACGGCCTGATTTGGGTATCTGTGGCGGTTGAGACCATGAGAGTGCATGCTCGTTGTGGTGCTCCGGGATAGTCGTCAATACCGACATCAATACCGGAGAAGGAATTACTCTTGAGCACGCGTTGCCACAGGCCTGGTTCCAACAGAGGCCCATTCTTGCGGTCCGGATCCTCACTCAACCACCAGCCTGGAAGGAGTGCGTATATGAAGTGACTGGACTTTAGCCGGGTTTCTTCAATTAGCAACAACTTACCGCCAGGCTTAAGCAAACGTCTGATATTTGCAACGGTGCGTCGGATAAGTGGAGTTGCATGTAACACATTGCACGCGATAACCACGTCGTATGAGTGCGGCTCGAAGCCCTGTGGGACAGGATCCGAAGAGACGTCTAGGGTCTGATACGACATCAGCGAGCCCCAGGCCTGGAACTTCTCCTTCGCCTTTTCGAAAAAGCCAGGAGAGATGTCGGTATAAGTGAAATGGCTGAATCGCGGCGTCGATGCGGCCTCCCCTCCCAGGGTCCGCAGAATGGGCAGTGTGGCACCCCCAGTTCCCGCACCAACTTCGAGGAATTTGAGATGTGGGTTCTGGTGGGCCATTGCATCGATACACTTTGTTGCTCGACCATAGTTCTGAAGCAGGTGGTCGTTATCTTCGTAATGTCGGCTGAGTAAATCGTCCTCCATCATGACGGCCAATGGGTCGAGATTTCCGCGAAGCACCTCAGGAAGGCGTTCCCCGAGCTTGCAGGTAAGTTCACCAACCGCATTCATAGTCCGAGCTTTCTGGATAAGTCTCTCCTGGCCTCCATGTTGTGCACATAGACTGGTGTCAAATGTGGTCGCATTGCACAGCTTCTGGGCCCAGCGGAACACGCGTTGGAGGTGCGGCTTGAATGAAACTATCTCATTCTTACTGATGCTTTTCACAGCACGTTGGAGATACACGTGTGAAACTTCATCCAGAAGACGAGTCCGTTGGGCACCAGGACCGTCACCCGAGTCAGGACCCTTAAGAAGGTCTAAGTCCGCCTCCGACAAAAAATCAAAACAGGGTTCAAAATGCTCTCTGTAACAGAGGGGTCTTGCTTCCAATACGCCGCCATCATCGTTAGGCAGAGGAATAGTGACACAACCGTCGATTTCAATGACGGAATTCGCCGGGTCTCCCGGACTGGTCGCAGAGATACGGTGACTGAGTGGGTGACGCGTGGATATAGCGTTGATCCGATTTCCATACAATTGCAATTTGCTGCCAGGTTGCAGGCCATGAGATGGAGAGATGGCAATGTGCTTTACGAACGATGGCAAATGGGTTGTTTTTGACCCAGGCTTGTAACATCCGAAAAGCACCCATATAAGCTGAATACACATGTCTAGAAGAGTGGGATGCAAAATGGAAGGTGTTTCATGCTCCTTGGGCATGCACAGCTTGGTTTCTGGGACGGCCAGTTTAGCCATTGCTTCGTGGCCATTGCTGACAGCGATATCAGTGAGTCCTCGAAACAACGGTCCGTAGAGCGCACCGCATTGAGCAACGTTGTGATAGAGCAAATCACTGTCCACAGCTGTTGTACATGCTGCTCGCATTGATGATGTCTGGTGAGCCACATCCAGCACCTTCGAGGACTGTTGCCGATGGCCATCGACCGGGTTAGGCTCTTTGTTCTCTAGTCCGATAATGAACCCATGGCAGTGCTCCTCCCATCCACGATTTTCCAACCAAGAAAAGATTCGAAATTCGTGCCACATTTTCGGGGAGTTCCCGGGCGTGCCCGTGCATGGCCTCATTGATAGCATTGTCTCAACAGACGAAGACTCGGGGACTGTCAACGCTCGACCGACGGATACCTCGCGCATCTCGATTCGGTCCAGGGCAACTTGATGGAGCGCAGCTTGTTGTGATACAGCTTCAATGGCCATCGCCAAAAAGCCTGCCATGGGGTACACACTATTGTTGTGGATCCGGTGTTGTCTTATCCAGGGCTGGGTGTCGGTAGATATAACGTTCCGCCAACGTGGTTCGAGATCGACATTTTCCATGATTAGAGAACCGAGAATATCATTCCGGGGGAATGGCCTCTGATAGATGTTGTCGGATAGGCGAGCTGGATGCCAGTAACTTTCCGAGTGATTCCACGGGTATGGTGATAGGTTGGTCAATACCGCTGGCTTTTTCTGCAAGTCGGGGAAGTTGATTCTTTCGAAGTCCAGCTGCAAGCCTCGCGTCCAGAGGCTTATCGCAAGTTGCTGCATTGCCTCAACTGCATCTACCTTCCGCTTCAAACTGGGAAAATAATCGACCTTTGCGTTGGAGAAATGGTGTTCAATGATCTGTTTTATCGGTGTTTGGAGCGAGCAATGAGGTCCAATTTCGATCACTGTACTAATGGGTCGTTCTGTCTCCCCGGCAGCGACCTTGTGCCCGAGGAGACTCCGAACACCCTTTACAAACTCGACACGCGAGACAAGATTGTCAACCCAGTAGGTAGCGTTCAGATCGCATGGGGGAACAGTACGACCGCGGACAGTTGAATGGAAAGGAACCGACGATCCCTGGGGCTCAATTTCTCCAATCAATTTGCAATATTGCTTTGCAACGCGCTGCATGTGATGTGAATGATATGCAACATCCACCTGCAGCTTCCGGGCGAAGATGCCCTCCTTGTCCAGTGCTGATTGAAGCTCAGATATGGCCCCGGCATCTCCGGATACAGTAACACTCGATTCACTGTTGATACAAGCCACTACAGCCCGATGACCATGGACCCTATCGATATATGGTTGAACGGCTGCACAGCTTGCTCCAACGGCCATCATCGATCCTTTCCCATTGCTTGTATCCTTTGTCAGTAGACCTGCTGCCGCACCGCGCGCGTAGGCAACCCGAACACATTCCTCTAGAGTGAGAATGCCGGCCGCATATGCTGCAGCAATCTCACCACTAGAATGGCCGGTCACGGCACTAGGGAAAACCCCCCAGGAGCGTAGCAAATCGGTCAAGGCTAGCTGAATAGCCGTGCATGCAGGCTGGCTTATATACGCCTTGGATATCGAACTTGACGTCGCATCACCGTATTCGATTATATCTATCACATGTCAGTAATTTGTTCCAAGCCAGGCAGGATCTAATTTACCAATGATCGAGAATCTTGCCCCAAGAGAGGATAGGCAGTTATCTACAGCCTTCATGGTCCGTTGAAAAACCGGGTACGCAGGAAGCAGCTCTCTTCCCATCGCAAACCACTGGGCTCCCTGCCCAGTGAAAATAAATCCGATAGTTGGCAAGCCTTGAGCACGTGAAGGCGTCGGCTCGGTAGACAGCTGCTGCCCTATTTCGATCGTGGAGCTTCCTGCAATGGCCAAGCGCCATGGGAAAACAGTACGCCGCTGCGCCAGTGTAAATGCGAGGTCATTGAACACGCTCTCTTGGAATACGGCCGGATTCTGTTCCAAATAAAAGCCCAGCTTCTTGACTTGCTGTTTTACCGCGTTCTCGTCGTGGCCTGAAAGCGTGATGATCTTTCGCTTGAGAGCTCCAGACTTCTCATTTATGCCACCGTCGTGCAGGGGCGAAAATTGCTCCAACACCACATGTGCGTTGGCTCCACCGAAACCGAAGTTGTTGATGCTAGCATATCTCTTCCCGCGAGGCCAGGGGACCAGTTTCTTGGGAATCTAAACGACATGTTAGAGACACTGTGCTTTGATTCATCGCGAGATATAACCTTGCCTTTATATTCCATTCATCAACCGGAATCTCGTCGTTAGCTTTTTGAAACCCACAGTTCGGAAGAACGAAACCCTTTTCCAGCATCATCGCTGTCTTGATAACCGAGATCACACCACTCGCTCCTTCAGTGTGACCGACGTTTGTTTTGACCGATCCCACAAACAGGGGTTCTTTCGACGTACGTCCCTTCCCAAACACAGCATGCAAAGCAGAAGCTTCTAATGGATCACCTGCCCGTGTGCCCGTTCCATGGGCTTCAACGTAGCCAGTATCAGACGGATCGATGTGCGCTTTTTTGTAGACTGAGCGGATGAGGGATTCCTGGGCAGCACTATTTGGTAGTGTGATACCCCTTGTGCGCCCATCTTGGTTTATCCCAGAGCCAGCAATGACTGCTCTCACAGAATCGCCAGCGGATAGAGCGGCGTTCAACGGCTTCAGGATGATACATCCAACACCTTCCCCTCGACCAAAACCGCTCGCCCTGTGGTCAAAGGCATAGGATCGCCCACTATCCGAAAACACGCTGCAAAATACAATCTCAGTCAGTCATTAAATTCGGCTAAAATGTGAGGAGTTGGGATTGTAATCGCACCCTGCAGAGGACATGGAAATAAACGCCTCGGGAGTTATATTGAGATGAGCACCGCCTACAATGGCAACAGAGCATTCCCCGGCTCTCAGGCTTTGACAGGCCAGGTGCACTGCCGTCAAGCTTGAAGAACAAGCCGTGTCAACTGTGAGACTGGGTCCGTTGAGGTCGAAATAATACGAAATGCGATTTGCCTGCAGCGACACTGCATTACCCGTCGCTTCATTCATGGGAATGGTCTCGGGATCCCTCATATTCCTCACTTCGTAGTCGGCAAATGATGCTCCGGCAAAGACCCCGACATTGCGGCCGGCCAGGGACTGCTTGGGAATGCCTGCATTCTCCAAAGCCTCATATGTACATTCGAGCAATAGCCGCTGTTGGGGGTCGAGAGAGCGCGCTTCTTGGAGGGTTATGTTGAAGAATGGCGCATCGAACAGTCCTAGATCCTCATCCAGGAAGTGGCCACCCTGTGGATTCAGCGTCCCGGGCCGCTGAGGATCTGGGTGGTGAAAACCTGCGTGGTTGAACCGAGAGCGAGGTACCTCTGACCACGCACTTCGTCCTCGCGAACAGATTTTCCAAAAGTCTTCTGGACTTGTTACCTGACCAGGGAGACGACATGCCATGCCAACAATGGCCATTCGTGTCGGCGTCTCATCCCGGTCCACGACTGGAGGGTGCCCGTTGGTAGCGATGCTCTCATCTTGACAAAGGGACTGGACACGCATGACGGCGAGCAAGTTAAAAATTGCAGGTTCCGGGAATTATGCTAAGTATGGCAAGAAGTCAACGGGCGAAGACGAGGGAAGATGGGTGAAGATTTAATGAAAAGGAATCCAACGCTCAGGTCGAAGAAAACACAAGGCCCCTCGCCTCGCCTCGACAGCCCAGAGGCCGGAACATGATATTATTCCTATTTCGAGTAGAGCTCCTTGCATTCAAATCTCTATTTCACCGTAGTTTGAGTATGCGCACCCCTTCATACCTTCTTGATGCTGTGGCGAACCGGCGATTTTGGAAATTCATGAATCTAATCTGGTTTCCCAGGCATGAATATGAAACTGCATATAAAAGATATTTTAGAAATTTGGCAGTCGATCTTGATCATCCATAGATATATGCATTCAACGCGGCGGGCAAAGTAGTCGGCCGGGCCTGGCGGTGGATTGCTCACAATCAACGCGTCCCTTGCATCTAACCTATTTAACCTTAATATAATGATTTAAACTTTCGACTAAGCTTGGATAGAAGCATGGGGTATACAAGGGTCATAGTCTAGTGTTTATTCATCGATGCAAGTTCAAGAGTCGTTATCTGTGGTAGGGCATCGGGCATACTTGAATGAGTCGACCACGCAGGAAACCCAAACTCGAGAGCGGTAAATTGACCTCAATAATATGCAAGCGTTTTGAAAAGCAGGTCCCAGAGATGTCTGCATCGTACCTGCCGAACGATTTCTTGGAAGCTGGAAATATCCCGACTGCACTCGGTGTTCGTACTTGTACGGCGATATGTCTTAAAATAGACTTCCTTTTAAAGGGCGAAGGCCCTTGAAGGTAAATTCAAGCAATATTGATGTACTTGTATGTGAATCAGAATAAGGGCAGTAAGCCAGGTGATAGATATAGATCTGGTATTTCCCGACACGATACTCCGTGTATGCGACAAACAGCCACACGGTGAGCAGACCCAAAGAGACAATGGCACCACATGAACTGTCCAAGTAATAATTATGAGCTATCACTTGATTAGGCGTATCGATGACAATGTAGGCATGTTGGTTGAGCTGGTAACGAGAGCTAATGTTAGTACTCCTTGCTCTTATGCGTACTTCGTGCTAAATGACAACTCGAATCCCGATTGGAAACTTCCCTCGCCATGTTCATTTTATATCAGAATAGATAGGCATGCTATACGATACTGAACTTTCGCAATTGAAGACGAGCTTTATTCAAGTCTTCAGGGAAGCTCGATAAAATTCAAGACATATGCTTGTACTGTCTTCTACCTCGAACAAGAATCATTGACCAAAGTCTGTCATATTCTTGGTATTCTTTGTATGCTACATGCGTCCTATTCCCCTGTCGAATCCAAGGAGCTAAATAAATGGTTCTATACCACCGGCCATCCACTGGAGAAGTCGATCGCGTTCCATCCAAAGAGCTTCTGGTTGTCCGCATAGCCAATCGTCGTATCGACATAATGATAGTAAAGAACGGGCCCAAGATCCGGGTCGGTAAAGACGCCCCTGCGAGAAGTCAGTTTCGGAATGCTATTAAACAGGTACAAAAAGCGAGAGACTTACTGTCCGCCAGGTCCATAAACATTGTCATGGCTCTCAAGAACAACTGTTCCTCCACCTGCCGTGCAGGCGGTTCCAGTCGCATCAACCTGAGGTTCGTTAGCTTAGGCCTCAAAGTGATATCTGGGCCACATACAAAGTCACCAGTGGCCGATGATGACCGGCAAACTTTGATTTTGTATTCATCACCAGTAGCCGGTCTAGATGTGTCATAACCGCAACACGCTCCAGCAGAGTAGAAAAGGTAGTAATAGTCCCCATATTTGTACAAGTACGCTCCCTCTACAGAATGATCGCCATTCGGGTCAAATGCAATGTTGTATGATGAAGAAGCAGCCTTAGTGGCAGCAGAGTTCAGCGGAGCTTGGAAGATATCTTGCCAGAAGGAGCCAAATGTGAGGTAGTAGGTGCCGTCATCGTTGAAGAGGTTCGCGTCGATGGCATTGTACGATTTTGAGGAGCTGGACGAGACTCCCGTCGCTCCATGATCGGTCCAGGAGCCCTCGTCCATCGTGTCGGACGTTGCTAGTCCGATTGCAGAGTCTTGCGAGCCGGACGTGGACACCGTATAGTAAACATGGTAAACGCCGTTGACATTTTGGACATCAGGTGCCTAAGATTGTTCAATGAAACAGCGGTCAGTTTAAATCCCAGAGACCGATGGATCCAAACAACGCCTTGGGACAGGCCTTGTAGGCGAAGACTGGAGAAGAGAAGCAGCATGAAAAGGCAGTAGAGCGACATACCCAGAGATCGTCATTACCAGCCTTGTCGATCGACGACCCATCCGGCACCACAGATCCAACAGCTGTCCACGGTCCCTCAATGGACGATGATTGGGCATACGAGATCTTATTCCCTGTTGAGAAACGGAAGTAGACCCCGTCGTCTCGTTGAATCAACCCTGGATCATGGACATTGCACGCTCCAGAACAACTGCCTGGATTAGCATATCCATGAACCTGGAGGACCAAAAGCGATATGGCGGCTGCGCAAAGGGTATACATGGTATACATTGCTGCAATGATGCGACAAAAACTAGAATGTCATAAGAGGCATGGTCGACTATTTAAACTCGTCAATACTCCTGAGAGGTCTGCTATGCCGAGGGGATCCAGTCATTCCTCAATTGAAGCGCCCAGTCAATCAACGGTGCATCACACGTTGTAGGACGCTAAATAAGCCCCTCCCATTTACCCGATAAGAAGTCAATGACATGTTATGCTAGTCTCCGGCAAATATATTGAAGCCGCGGATAAAGTAGATCCTGGGATCCATGGCGATCCACTCAGGTTATTTATAGAACACCGATACGCCAGGCGCAGTAGTTTTCCTTCTAGCTGAAGCTGTAAGAAGAAACTCAAAATTTCCGAGAGCTCCTTGAAACAGTCGTGCCGATTGTCCTGTCTTACAGTGGACTGAAGGTGCCGGTATAGAGATTGAAACTGCCGACAGTCTGGCACCATCTCATCGCAAGGGACTTGATTTGACAGAACATATCCAGAATCAGTGCGGGGTACTGTAGACTTTGAAGAAGAAAGACAGGGCTTATGATGCCGGTTAATATAACTTAGGTACCGGAGAAGATGCATCACTCGGGAATAGTCGCATAGTGGTACCTGCAGGCACGCATATCTCGCTCGTTTTAATTATCCGGTGAGACATTTATGGCTATGCCGATTGGTCTGTTCCTGCTAGGGGAAGAATTGTTTGCCCATGGACGTATTAAGGCCCGAGACTTCTCCGCCACTTCATCAGGCCAATTGACTAAAATTGCTTAGAATATACTATGTCTATAGCAGCCCAGCCATCACCCTCGTTAATGCCTCATCCTCCGCGTGAATAGCGTCTGATAGACGCACATCATTGGACTGGACGAACGCCCCTTGACTATTGCTGTTTGCATTGACCTCCGTCACAATTTGCGGGTCGAAATACAGCCCTCCCGCCAGTTCGAAGAAGCTTGTCAGGTCCTCGCAGCTATTATTTGTATCGGTTGGGAGAGTAGCCGCTGGTGTTGTAGACCAAGCTGTAGAAGGCTGCTCTGTGGGAACATTGTCTATCGCTGACTGGATATGGGGTGAAGAGGAGGTCGAAACAGGAGTGAACGTGTGTGGCGTGTGGTTTGAAATTGAGCTGGCGTGGTGAGCATGACTGCTAGAAGCCGCAACATTCCTGTTCCCCTGGTCATGAGCGCGTGGTTTACCGCCGTCCCAATGCAATGGGATAAGCTTCAAACTGCGTATGATTTTTTGTAGTCGTCGCGATGTCCGGGCTCTGGTTGATGATCGTCTCACCAAATCCACAGCTGAATAGAACTCTGGGCGACAAACCTGGCTGAAGCGGTTCGGAGCATGCAGGACAGCCAGGAACAATGCAGCTAATGCTGAAAGCAGAAAATAATTAAACGGCTCTGGACGTTGGAAGTACAGGCTTGAAACACGACTAAAACAGTCCAGCATGTGCACAGTCCTTTTCGCTGTCTCAACAGCGACAGAGGCACCCGAGAAATCCGCCTCTATGGTTTCCGTGCTCAACAAGTTCTGGCGATATACCAAGATGCGCAGCTGATTAGCTTGCAAAGCCAACAAGACCTGCTGCATCACCATGCTATCCGGAGGCGGGTCGGAGTCAGGGGTCTGGAATTGTGACGGATCAAATCGGAGCTCTGGAGGAATAGATTGAATCCACTGCTGGACCTGGAAGTCGAGATAAGAGCAACGATCGGACGTCGAAGAGCGTGGCCGGCTAGGCCAGCCCACAACTAAGCCCCAGATCTTTGTGCTCAGCCGGGCGTAGTTGATCATACAGGTAAGGTACGGGGTCGCTGCACCTGGCTCTGGAAGGTTGGTGTCCATATCCGAGTCTTGGATGGCAAATGGAAGACCAGTACCGAAGGACCACTTGCGGTCGAGCACGTAGATACACCAGAACAGACGACTGGCCCAGTTGCATTGTAGCTCACCGGGGAAGACACCACCGGTTCGCTGCCAGGTCTCCTGACGGTGTAGCCCGAGCTGCATGGACCCTCGAACCGCCAGGCCAATCTGGCGCCATGCGATGACTTCGTCGTCGCGATATGAATGAAAAATGGACTACAAGCGTTCTCTTAGCATCAGCTATGTTGTACCTTCCGCCAGCTACCCCGACACAGCTTACCAGCAACGCCAAAATCAACAACTCCTTCATATCCACGTCGGCAATCTTAACTCGAGTAGCAAACTCATCCTCCACAAAGTCTGCCAACTGCGCCGCTCTTTCACTGCGGCCGTGTGATTCTACTAGCAAGGCTGTCGCGAAGATCATTTTGATGACGGACGCATCGCGTGCAAAGAACCAGTCCTGGTCCGTTGCATTGGCCACCGCTGGTGCATTACCACCCCCACGAAAGAAGTCAACGATATACGTGCGCACGCTGTCAAGATCGACGCAGGGGTACATGATGCCCACTGATTGCTCGTAGACCAACAGAAGTCGCAGAGATTCGGCTAGTCCTAGCTCCGTGAGAGGATCCCCCGTCGTCAGAATTGCCTCTGAAGGTGACGGGCTGGACTCTTCGCCATCACTGACACTATTTCGGCGCGCAGTGAGCCCGAATTCTGCACTCGTAGGGCCAATGTACGTTGGGGATTTGGGTGGATTGAGAATGCGACCAAGCGCCGCACCGGCGCTGCTGGATGTCGTTCCCGTTCCCGAGGTTGATGCCGCAGCTGGTGTATACGCGGAAGATGGCTGGGGATTGGTCATTCTGTTGCTGTCACGATGGCCCATAACCGTCTCCATTTCGCGCATACGAGCGGCCATCAGTTGCATCTCGCGCTGGAGCAATTCGATCTTGCGGTCCACAGCGCGAAATTGCGAATCCACCCTGCCAGTGTCAATCAACACCCAACTGGTTCTAGTTGAGAATCGCAAACTCACCGGCCATCCTGCGATTCACCCACATCAGGAGTTCTGGCCGCGGCATGGGCGTTGGTCGTGTATGCACATTGAACGCCGTCGCGTTCACAGCGTGCGCAGACAATCTCACCACTACATTTCAGCTTGCGCCGCTTGCACTCATTGCTGCAATACACTAGACATCAGCTCAGATTCCATAGAAGGGAGCGGCAATACAACATACCAAGCTACCTGCGTGTATCGGGCACGTTTTTTGGACCGAGGCTGTTCCGATAAATTGCGCGGGGCTTCCGAGCTCATTGTACGTCGACACTCGGCAGATGGGTATACAATTAAGAAATATCATGCGATTGTCGCAACAATACAGAGAGGGATTCGCCCTGAAAGAGAGAAAAAAGGATTCCGGCCGATAGCGGAATTTGTTCCGAGCCTCCGAGGCTATCCAAAAAAGGAAGCCATAGTGGAAATGGCATAGCAGACATAGCAGGCATAGCAGACATTCAGTGATATAGCATTTAAGAGAGCACTGTTCTCCAGCCTTGTAGTTTCTACCATTCAAGGGCGCATTAATGTAGTCTATCCCATCATGTTCACCTTGACTTTGACGCCACTTGTATATCCGATTATCGGCCCTTCGATTAGGGACTTCACATCATGCTGAAGCACTAGAAGAACCCCGCGGCTCATCTTCTCTACTCTACCCCGGGTTTCTATATCTACAATATTCTTGTTTGACATGTTGAAGCGTATCCCATCGTTAGCAGTCGGGCGCAAATTACCGCGAGCATCATTCTCAGGTCGTCAGACACTATCCTCTTCTGCCAGAACAATGGCCCAAGCCGATTGGAGCGCCTCTCAATACCTCAAGTTCATGAATGAGAGGACCACACCAGCTCGCGACTTGCTTGCCCGGGTCCCTCTCCAGGATCCCGAAACAATAGTTGATCTAGGATGCGGACCGGGAAACTCAACAGCCGTGTTGGCACACCGGTACCCCAACGCTCATCTCGTGGGCATGGATTCATCGCCGGATATGATTAAGAAAGCACAGTCGACACTCCCCAGTCTCGAATTTACCGTTGAAGATCTGAGAACCTACTCGCCTCCGCAATCTGTTGATCTCTTTTTTTCGAATGCCGTTTTGCACTGGCTGGGAAGAGATGAGCGAATTGCGCTTATCAAGCGTTTGATGGAGTCGCAGCCATCTGGTGGCGTGTTTGCTTTCCAAGTGCCGTACAATCTGACTGAACCGTCTCATGTCTTGATGAAAGAGGTTGCCGCAGACGGCCCCTGGGCGAGCACGCTGAAAAATACCGGCAGAGATGCTTTTCAGACACCACGGGAGATTTACGACCAGCTTATTCCAATGTCATCGGAGGTGCACATCTTCAAGACGGACTACCACCATCCCTTGGAGGATCATAGAGCAATTATAGAATGGGTTCAGGGAACGGGGTTAAGACCATATCTTGATCCGTTGTCGCCGGAAGAAAAGGAAGCCTTTATTAATGAATATTTGAAGCGCCTTGAGTCTGTTTATCCCAAATCAGTTGACGGCAGAGTGCTTCTTGGTTATCCGCGGTTGTTTGTGGTGGCTGTCAAAAAGTGATGATGCATACAAGTTGACTCTCAAATAGCAAATAATAGATGATCATTCTCGCATGCTTGCATTCTCATAACCACCCAGGAATCACTAGAGGTATCTCAACAACAGTAATATTATCAACTCTCACGCATATTCAATCTCTACTCAGATATGTGCGTCCCGGCAGCAATCTGACTGTACCACACGCGACGATGCGTTCCGGCTCGACGGTACATCCAAGGAAGGATTCGCCGTAAAAAAGTCCGAGGGCCGGATGTTGAGCTGGTAAATATCCACAGGCCTGTCTCGTCAGTATCGCCTTCACAATTCGCCTAGGAAGGGACAACTTACATCACCGGCCAATCTTCCACACGCGGGTTATGTGTCAACCCAAATGAGTTCCAAACCACCACATCCGTGTCAGCGACGCGATCTCCTCGTTTGACGGCGTCTGAGACGCCGCCGATCTCCAGCTGGCTCTGCAAGGTGTAGTTCCCGCCAGCGTACAATTCGCCGTCCCGGTACTTGGTCACCCAGACGTGATGCTGAGCAAACCGCGCCCGTCTTGCTTGCACCGAGTTCGGATCCGCAAGCAATCTCTGCGTGGCCAAGGGTGTGAATTTGTACGCAACTGGTTTGCCGCTAACTGGATTCGTCCGGTGCGGGTTGGTCATCTTGACCACGCGGTTTAGATCCGGGGCTGCGTCCAACCAGCCGGCCCGGTCCACGGTGTAGTCGATAACTCGGTAGAGGTTACCGTTGGGATTGGTGGCCTCATTCATAGGCATCGGGTGAGACTCCTCCACAACGACGGAATTATCGTGTCCGTCAATAGCAGGGTCGATGCGCACGCAGAAAATATGCTGGTGATTCTGGGCAAGAACCCCTCCACTAACAACGTTGCCGTACTCGCTGGTCTTGCAGGGGTCAATGTTGACGACGTTAAGAATGCCCGTCGCACGCGACTCGACAGTGATAGCGCCGGCCTGGTCAAATTTATAGGCGAAGATGTACTCATAGTTGGCGAGCGTGATGATAAACTGCACCACCAGCTCACGACTGCGCGTGACGACGGCCCGGTCGGTACGCCAATTGCTGTGCTTCCAGCCGATACCATTGTCCTGTTCGTGCAGGCAGATTGCATTGGGCAATTTCGTTGTGCTACCGTCGGTCTCTGTAAGCAAGGCATCGAAGTACTTGATCACCCCAAGGCAATCGCAGCCAATGGACAAGTTATTGGCTGTGTTACCACCACCACCGTCACCAAAGTCGAAGGCCTGTTTGCGGTGGTATGGAGGTCGAGGGTCGGCATAGGGAACGGTCTGCAACAGTCAACATCGAGTACTCCAATCCAGAACAAGGACCTACCATCTCGCTAATAGCCAGCCGATACAGCACACTCCGTCCGTCATACCATACATCGTGGATTGTCGCACCCTCACGCGGGTTGAAGCCTACGCGGAAACGCCATTTCTGCCATTCAACCAGGGACTCATTCGTGACGCGAAACGAGGGGCCATCCGGCTGAACCACGTTCAGTGGCTTCAGATCCTTTCGCGGCCCCCCTGGCAACAGTTCAGGGACATATTCTGATGCGTTGGCGTGGCCGATGATGTCGCGGCTAAAGGTCTGGCCGTAAAGTCCATCCCCCTTGCCTCCAGTGGCCGGACGGTCCACTCGAACGATCGCTTCTGTCGCGCAGTCCATGACTGGGATTACAGGCAGCGGATAAGAGTAGAAGTTTGCGTCTTCATTATTTTTCGTCTTGTCTTGAGCGAAGATCAGGCCTTGCATGTATCGACGGTTGTCATCGGAGAGATCCAGCCCACCGTATGGCCAGGGCTCGATAACTATATCGAAACCCTTAGGGAGATCAAAGTCTGCCAGCGCCTTTTGAAAGAGAGGAGATGCCTTGCAACGGTCGACGAAGACATCGAATTCATTTCTATGGTTGTGTCAGCTAACCATCGCTTCGCAATCCTTTGAAAAAACGTACACCGTCAGTGCAGCATGGAACTTCTTATCCACAACCTGATGCTTTACCCGCCTTCGTAGTCGAATATCGACAACAGACTCGTGGTATTCAGTGGATTTCTCTCGGCCAACCACATCGTATTGGCATAGGGCCAGTCGAGAGGGCCGTGGTGTTGTCGGACTCAATCGGCCAGAGTGTTCGAGTTCCAGGAACTCCGTGAGATGGGCCTTTGGGGGCTCTGAGAGGTAGATTTCACGGAAGTAAATAATGGTATCGAGATGCGAAGCGACGACAACATCGCGAGCGACTTTGATCTCGTCTGGAGAAAGGCCTGCGAGAGGATGCAGATTCATGATTGTGGCGATGATCAATAATGTAATAATGGATAATGTGATAGAAAGAAGGTTCCTTGTAGGAGCAAAGGAATGATTATAAGAGCTTCTTATATGTATAGAGAACGAACTGGACATCCGTAGTCATCACGACTACCCGATTGGGAAGACTCGGAAACTCGGAATTCGGAACGACAGCCCGGAATACTGTCTGCGGAGACCGAAGGCCACGAGTTATCATACCACGGAAGAGTGGCTATAGACGGTATCAGGCAATATGTCTGATAGTGATAACCCTGATAAGACTGAGGTGGGATTGCGGCCGCCTATTACTACCTGGCCATGGATGACAGCAAAAACCTGCTATTCTGGAACTGCATTATTGGGTTGTGTGGGCTTTATATTGCTGGATACGAGGATAGTATACCTTGTGGTGAATTTGTCACCTGCAATAAGGGCACCGATGCAGTCAGCAGACGCTCCAATAGCTAGAACGGTGAGAGATTCCTTGAAAACAAACCATCCTGACAAGAATAAGAAGCGCGCACGTGAGGGCCTGCATAGTGATATTTGGCCACTAGGCCTTAAGGCTTACGAATCTAGGGCATGGATGTGTTCGCCAGGGGATTCGCATGTTTCGCATGTTTCGATCAGAACCTGACTCTCGGCTGAGTCTTGCACAAAGCGCAACTCGAGGGCTCAAAGTTACACTGAAGACGGCTATGGCTACGCAAGATCTACATTGCCGTTGATTTTCATTGTATGAGGCCGGGGAGAATTGCAGTCATATCTTATTGCACATGTCCCATCGTATCACGTCAATCTACATAGTCGACCTCACTCATCGTCTTCCAGTATCCCGTGCCCTGGCCAACCCGGTCTCGGAAACTGGTTTGGCTCAGTAAATTCGTCAAATCCCATATTTGCGATGCTCAAGTTTGCATGTGCTATATGTGCGTCCCGGCCGCTGAGTCGGCCGTGAAAGAATCCTCTGACGTTTCGGGCCGGTGTATTCTTGAGGATCTCTGCCGCAGCAGTGTTTGACTTTCTGGTGTAGAGAGTGTCAGAGTCCACCGCGATGACTGTCAGGTCATTTCCAGATTGTTGGTCAATAAAGAATATAGGGAAAGGTGAGGTAATTGACGTCGCGCGTCCTCTTTTATACGTGTAAACATCCCAGAAAATATCCCACATGTCTTCCAATGTTCCATCTCGCTGGCCGTCTTTCCAGGGAACATAACAGCAGTGTTTCTCTTCCCATTGTTCGAGGTCAATCTCATTCATCGTGTGGAGCTCAGCGCGAACTGCCTGGTCCTGATCCTTGGTCAGGTTATTAGTGAGGTAAAATACTGGCACCCAGTAGATACGGTCCTCGGCAGGGAGCCAGGGCGGATTGTTCACATAGAATGGTTGTTCTGGTGGATACATGAGCTCAATGGCTCCTGGCTCCTGGCTCTCTGGGATGGACGGCTTTGGACGATCTAGACATTCTTTGGCGGATAATCCCCAGCGCTGCTCTTTTATGATTACCTGCTCCAGAGATATCCACAACACAATGGCTGGTTTTAGCATGTCATAGCTCAGAGATCCGATAAGGACACGCTCGGTATTCTTAATGGGTTTCAACAGGAAGTAAATTCTTGGCGTATAGTCGTTGGCCAGAATCTGCTGCTGATACCCATCCCACAGATTGAAGAATCCGCGTCGAGACTCCACACGATGATACTCCCATGGAATCAATTGAATGGCCATCTCCTGGTCTTGGCCGCCGTATTCTTGGTGACACTTCCGCGCGGCGCTCTGCAGTGTTGATTTAATACTTTCAAGCTCCTCCTCTGCTGTTGGGAACATCAGGAAGATGTTCAGATGGCGGTTGTCGTGGTACACCCATGACGGCAACGCAATCGGTTGCGCTCCGTGATTCGTTACCCATGAGGCATCTCCCGTCCTTGAGCCGCTATTCGAGCATTCCTCCCATCCCAACCTCGCTGCTGTATCACCGGCAAACACACTTCGATTCGTGTCATGAAGCACCAAGCCGTCGTTCGTAAATATCTCGTTGTTACGCCCATTCACTTCTTGCGGTTCAAATATTTGCAGCGTCGCCACCAACTCCGCGTTTTCCTTATCTTCTCCAGTTGTGCGTTTGGCAACCACGCGAATCTCGTAGTCTTGCTGCTCGGCAGATTGTCGGATAGCAACCATAACTACAGAAGTCCAAGAGCTTTCACCCACTCGACAAGTTCCCCTGAGCTGGCGCTTCGTCAGGTCGTCCGCAACGATCAGTCTCGTCCACCCTGCGCGATGAGCCAGAATCGCTATCGCGTAAATGTTGGCCTGGCTATCTCGACATTGACCTTGGTGCGCAATTGCTTGCAGCACTTTGGTAGACGGTTTCCATGAGCGAATGCTGACGTTTTTGCCGTGCAGCGAGCGCTGGAAATGTTGGATAAGGTTCGCTTCGTCGGCTTCTTCAAGGTCCGTAAGGGAAACCAGCAGTAAATGCTCCGTTTCCTTTGCGCCTTTCTCCGCTTGAGGCAGTCCGTGATTAATGGCGAGCTGCAGAGACTGGTTCATTGTGGTTTTTGGTTCTGTGGGCGTTGATATAGAGAATACCGGATGAGTAATGATGAAAGAAAGAAATTCAGGATACAGAGATTCTCTAAAATTAACAAGGCTCTTATATCACGTGAATATCAGGCAGCAGGTGGGTCTACATATCCTATCCTTGCTGGGACTGAAAGTGAGGGTGCAATAAGAAGAGCTGAGAATACGAGCCTCAACTCATGTGACTCGCCGCTGTATAGCGGATTGGTATTCATGTATAATCATATCTGGAATTAAACAGCGGGCAAAATGTATTCATACAGAGCTCGATTAGCTATGGCGATATAGTAGCTCATATCTTGTCTGCTGTACGAGTCTACAGTCCACCACCGGTCCGGTTTGCGCCAGGGTATTGGCTCTGGATGCCGGAGAAGAAATCCTGTCCGCCCATCTTTAGGTCATCGAAGGCCGGGCACGTCATGTTCAACAATGGGGCTGCGATAGCTTTGGTGACCATCTCGAGCGGCACGGACAGAGTCTTGTACAGGCCGGAGAGGGCATTGGGACTGGCAAACTTGAGGACCTCAAAAACGAAGCAAATCAGATTGTTTTTCTCCAAGAGAGTCGACAGGTTGAGGACGCCTCCAGTCAGGTCAGAGAGATCGACGCCAGTGAAGCTGTTGACGGTTCCGGTGTTGCCTCCGATACTATGGGATCGTTATTGACTGCATCCAATGCTTAGAGCTAGATACGACACCTACCTGCCCAGCTCGGGATACTTAGTGACAAAGCCCACCGTATCGAGGTTGAGCTGCACCAATCCATAGTCCACGGGAGTCTTGTACCAGTTGTCGGGAATCCTTTCCCAACCCTCGTTGTAGGTGAAATTTCCTTCTTCTTCCTGAACTGCGAAGAAGCTTTTGACGATATCCTTGGCTGTGCCGGTTGTCAGTCATAAAAAAAAAAAAAAAAAAAAAAAAAAAAAAAAAAAAAAAAAAAAAAAAAAAAAAAAAAAACCATATACTTAGAGCAGATCCAACTTACTCAAAACTCCTTCCGGGTGCTCCTCAGAGTGATTCCGGAAAATGCGTCCCACAAACATGTATCCAGCATTACGCGCGAGAAGTCCTGTCACCGGTCCATAATAAAAGTTGGGATTGGTCGCCTTGGTCTGGTCCATCCGGATCTTGGCCCGCTCGGCCATCAAGTCCATGTCAAACGTGCCATCCGTGGACATTGCGTAGAATTCTTCGAACTTGGTCATGTTGAGAGCGTAGTTGTTTCCGGTCATATACAGGTCGTCACGCGTCAAGGACGAGTCGGATTCGACAAAGTTGTGCGTGCCGATGATACCCTGCGGATCGCCTATTGCATTGTTAGGATCGCTATATGAATGATATATTGCAGAGAATATAACACACCTAGCAGGCCACCAAGATTATCCAACAGGTTGTTGACCCGGTCGTCCTTTCCACCAATCGAGAAGCTGGGGTTCAACGAGAGCGGGTTGCCTCCCCAAACAGTGCCCATCACGGCCAGGACCGTAGCAAGATCGACGCCCATACCATACACTACCACCGTCAGAAAGTTCCATCGCAAATCTAAATCCGTGCAGCTCACCTTTGTTAATGGCCGGGATCACTTCAGCAAACTATGACCGTCAGTACCAACATTATCGCGCCAGACATGAGCTACCTACAGATACAACACCGTTACGAGGGATATAACCATGGTTAGCCAGCGCGTTGAGCCCAGGGCAAGGCCCACGCTGGTCGCCATCATCAAAGTTAGGCGCTTGGAAAGCGTGGTCACCGTTGACTGTTCCATGAGTATGTCACTACCACTTGCGGAAAGCTATACATACCATCAACGGGAGCTTTCAATGAATTCACCAGGAGACGCTTGTTCAAGCTACTCTTGACGCTTCCACCTTGGACATCGGAATAAGGACAGTTCTTAGGGATCTGGCCCGCTCCATTCATCAGCTTGTGCAGATTGTCCGCGGTGGGCATAGCATCGACGATGGAAGCGCCCATACCCAAAAGGGCCAAGGGCAATGCCGATTTCCACGCCCTCATAATTGGAAAAACGAATGACTATAAAAAAAAGAAAGAAAGAAAACTAATCAAAGGAACGACTGGTGAGTGAATATCAAAAAGGAGCGAATGTCGACAGAACAGTAGAGAACGTCATGAACGGACAGCACAGGAAGACATAAAAGCGGAGGCCACGCTTTTCAAGAATACATCAGCATCAGGAGTATTTTGATCGGGGGACTGGAGATCTACAATCTCTGCTTATTAAAGGCCCATTTTTGACTTGTCACTCGGGCATTGGGAATTGGAACGGGCCACTATTCCGGAGAGTCATTAGCCGTATCACTAGTTATAGCGGCCCGAGTTACTAGATAATGGCCGGTCTTCTATGGCCACGACGGCATACTCTACTATGATACCCGTATCGTTAGCCATTGTAAGCACAGCTCTCTCGAGAAGAGAAAGCAAATTGTACCCAGCAATGCGTGCGTTATATGGGCTTTCAGCATCCGGTGCGTCGGACCGGAGTGTTCTAGAATGTTGTTCAAACAAAATGACCCTGTATATTGCAGAATCCCTGATTCTTCAGTGAGATTACCAATCTCAGCAGATTCGGCAGTTGTACAAAGGCGACGCATCCCGATAGCCCTCCGTAGGGGGCTGACCAGCCGGATTTGATGGAAATAACTCCGTGCACAGGGCGAGTTTGTACGTTCTTCAAATATCCCAAACAGGAAAGCAGAAAATCCACCACACGGTCGTCAACAACTCCCAAAACGTCCTGACTTGTTGATCCGGACTAACCTGACTCGGCGTTGATCCACATCTAATGTCAGGCTCGTGGCGATCCACCGCGCCGTCTCGAGCCGCTCCACTGGACTAATTTAGTATGACGGGGCTGGCGGAAAATTCTCTGGCGCACGTTAAAATGAACATCCGCCTCATTCATGGCTGTCGAGCCCGATCGAGAATACTCTTTGTCTCCTAATGCATGACTAACCTCGTAAACCTGGACCATGCACCGCATATATTCAATCTGGTTGCTGGGAGCGTTCCCGATAGAGCGTTGGTGGAGCGCTATTTGTCGACAGCATCGATGTCCTCCTGGTCTGCTTATTTGCGTATATTAATACTCTCCAAATGAATTATCACATATCAATCCGTCAAACTGGTAACTCATATTACGTGTTCATACCTTCATTTCCCAGGATTGAGTATGCATAGCTGCACAGTATTTTTGGCAAAAGATTAATCAATCGATCAACAGCTTTGCCACTTTAAATTGAAAATCATTGTGCTCTATATTCTGTAGTCGTCATAGCGTGAGCTTTCCGGTCTGGCAGAGAAAATATAGGTCTGGGGTAACGGGCATGCTGTACTGTGTAGATCGTTATCGCCTCCCTAGCACTGCTAACGGCCAAGACATTGATGACAGCTCGAAATTACATGTTCCCGCTGCTGTATGTTCCCCCTTTCTATTTCCAGTAGCATTCAGGCAAACTCATATCTGATGAACTAAAGTAGCGCCGTAAATCCAATAGAACGCTGGTGGAAAACACTCGGTATACCTCTGGTCCGGGCAAGGCGCAATCTCCGGTAAGCCAGCCTGCACGGTTCGTGGGAAACTGCAAAGCTTGTGTTTTGAGTAATCATTTCCGTTGGCCCGCCATAATATGCAGATAGCGTGAAGCATGGACCGTCTTTTCTGGTATGTGCAGAGGAGAACAATACCAAGTTTGCCGGCCGGCACACATACGATTGGTCATGGGAGTGAGCAATATTTTGGGAAAAGCCAAAATGGAAAAAGGAGTTGCAATGCATCTTGGCTATAATCACCTTGGATATACATGTGCACCATCCGGAAGAGCTTCCAGATTCCCACTCAGAATCCGCCCCGTAGCGGTGCGTGTGTCTGCCGTTGAGTGTGTGTAAAAATGTCAACGAGTTGCTGATCACCCCTCGTTCGTTGTGCGCCAATGCAGACTGTTGGTCTTGGAACGGGCTTAGTCTAATCGGGAGTGATACATCTCATCTGCAGGATATTTCAAGGTTGTAGATAAAAGTGATCGGTATCTCCTCATGGGTTTCTTTTCCCATGTCTCTTTAATTCAACCATAGTCGCTCGTTTTCCCCTTCTTTTTGATATCACGGCACCGGAGGGCAGCTCATTATGAGATTGACCTGGATCTTAGCACTGGTCTCAGTGCTTTTCTCTGCCATGGCAGCGGCCAGCAGTATTGAGGAACTGGCCACTGCTCTGCCTTCATGCGCGGTATGATAACGGAATCAAATGCGGTCGAGTCAATCAAGCTGATCTTTTCATAGCTGAAATGCCTGGTGGCAGGAATAGAGCAATCGACTTGTGGCTTGACCGACCAAACCTGTATATGCACAAATACCGAATTGAACACGAATGTCGAGGCATGCGTGTTGATGAGCTGCACAATCAAGCAATCTCTCAGTGAGCTCACCAATTACTCGCCGTAATATCCGGAACCTACCACTAACAATTCAGCTACGAAAAATGTGACCAAAACAGCATGCGACGCTCCTATTCGGGACCGAACAAAAACTGTGTCTATTGCTGGTGTCGTTGGATGTGTACTATCCGTGATCGCTTTTATTCTCCGGATCATTGCAAGATTCCGTTGCCTTGGTGGCCAATTCGGATGGGATGATGCGACAATGGCGTTTACAATGGTATGGAGCCTCGATCCCACTGTAAGCTTCTTTTCCAACACTGATTGTTTTGCAGTTAATGGTGATTCCATTGTCCGCGTTCTCGGTGGTCCGTATGTATTCGACAAATTTCCCTGGTGAAAAGGCTGCGAGACTGACCAATGATTGCAGTGGCCGATACAGGTCTTGGAAAGGATATGTGGACGCTTCCCTTCAAGAACATCACTCACATTCTCTATGTTAGTAAGATCAACATGTTCTCTTCCCGTTTGAGACTGACCAGCATCAGATATACATGATCGATGAGGTCCTCTACCTGAGTATCCTTCCGATGACCAAGATATCCATCCTCTGTTTCTACCTACGTGTCTTCCCCAAAAAAGAGATCCGGATAATAACCTATGTCGTTATGGCGCTCTGCGTTGGCTACCTGGTCTCGTTCGTTTTAATTTCGGTCTTCCAGTGTGACCCGATTAATGGCGCATATCTGCGTTGGGATGGCGAGCACAACTTCAAATGCAACAATATCAACGCCCAAGGATGGGCGGCCGCTATCGCCAACATGGTTCTTGATCTCATCGTCATGGCTTTGCCGCTCCGGGAATTGTACCACCTGAACTTGTCACTGCGGAAGAAGCTAGGTGTTCTGTGCATGTTCAGTCTGGGAATTTTGTATGTCAGCCCGTTCAGACGAGAGGGAATGCCCTTTACTGACCAAAATAGCGTCACCCTGGTCAGTATCCTGCGGTTGGAATCGCTCATCAAGTTCGCCACGACACAAAACGTCACATGTGAGTCTTCAATCATCTTAATCAAGTGAAATCAGGGTGGATCGAGCTGACCCGTATAGGGGACTACGTCGAAATCGGATACTGGAGTACAATCGAGTGCCATGTTGGCGTGATCTGCGCCTGTCTCCCAGCCATTCGCTCGCTACTGCGTCGTGTCTTTCCCGCTGCCTTCGGAGACACAACCAAAGGTGCCTCCAAAGGTACTAACAACACCTATTCGATGTCACGATCTGGTGCCGGATCGCGACTGGAAGGCAAGCTCACTCCCAGGGTCAAGGGCGGCGACGAAGATCATTTCGTTCCGCTTGTCGACATGGACAATTCCAGTCAGGCCCATCTGGCACATGCACATTCGCAAGCATGATGGATTCTAATGTCGTTTGCTTTTGGTTGTTTAATCCGTGATATCCTTGCTCACTTGATTCGCTCTTTTTGAATAACTCTTTCTTTCGTTTTCTCTATTTCATGGTTTAGTTGCTATTAATTCCTTATGATTTCATCCTTGGGAAAATTTATGTCGTTAACGGTCTTTTGGGTGGTCTCTTTTTTCTGGTATACTCTTGGCAGTCTTGCAATATTCCAATATCAACCGTATTGGTCTTGTTTCTTCTTAACCTTTTCAGGTATCATCAAAACGGATAGTAGCGGCAGCCTGCACACGGCATACCCGTTCAGTAGTAGTTGCTCACCGGAACTAGTTGCCGTCTGACAGCCGTTGAGTGGGTCTTAGCGTAGCTCCATGACAGGTGAGTTTCTCCCTAGACTAACGGGAAGGTATCTTCCCCTTTCCGCTGAAGAAAGTCCCGAGTCCCTTAATAAGAGCAGAAATAAGGGGGGGAAAAAAACCCTATCAAAGCTCCGTAGAGCCGTTGCGGTGGGGTGTGGGGTGATTATGGGGCACACGAGTTAGTGGAGACCGGGATACGACCGAAGCGGTGCTCATTAGTTTCCAGCGGTGGGTGGAGTGGGACGCTAGGAACGTCACGTTATTCAAGCCCAGTTAGGGCTAGTACCGGATTTCTTCCGCAAAAGCAAACTGTCGGTAAAAGGTCGGCTGGGAAGGCTGCGCTATGGTGCACAAAGGACTGACTCGTAGCGGCCTTGTGTTTTCCTAGATTATTAATTCGAATTGCACTGTGGCCCTGAGCGTTTTGGTAAAAGGGTTCTGTAGAAGCAAGGAAGAAACAGTCTCTGGAACAGTATTCCGGAATAATTCTGGTGAGACGGCATTTGTGCATCACAAGGGTCCCGACTATCATCCCAGACAATCAGGAAAATCAGCTTCCCAAAACGTAAGCATCCCTGCATATGCAGAATACCAGTACACGGGATAGAGTACTCTAGCCCGTAGTCTGCATGTATTGCTCATAGTTCAGCGCTAGACCGGGTCTCGTATCCCGGCAGTCCGTATTAATATATCAATTGGGGTTCGTAGTGGGATCGCCGGCAAAAAGGTTTAGTGTGATAACAACATGAGCTATTATGGGGAGATTAGCAGTAGGGAACGAGCGCAACGCCTCCCTCCTGCGTGCACAGTGTTAAACGGATGCCTGGTAATGGATTAATCAGTAAGGGATGTGCTCTATACTCGATATGATTCCATAGTTCACAGGATCAACGGATGAAAGAAAACGGACGTACAGGACTTTTGCGAGGCCGTCCGGGTAGAACGCGCCATCAAGTGGCTAGAACGTATTTCCGTACGAAATGCCATGAATGGAATATTCCACACGCTAAGGCATGCCGAAAACCCGAATTGGACCTAGAAAGCAATGAGGGCAGCTCGACCAAGTTCGACGATGTCTCCTGAAGGGTGCTCAACCCAGGAGTCGGGCCCGCTCTATGCACGATGATTCATTTCCGGGGTCACGTAGTTTATTGGGCTGGATTCTGGTTTTGGATCGCTCCGTCGGACTAGCCCACCTGTCAGTGAAGGCCGTTAGACTAAGTCAACAGTTAGCACTATTCTCGGAAACCAGCACATATGGATCGCCGTTGAGTCCTCACTCCGTACTCCTGGCGTGTAAATTGCAACCACAGCATAGTGAAGCCGAGGATTTAGTTTTCCCGGTTTTATATTCAAAGGTCCCTCAAGTTGGTCATCTTGTCTTTCAACAAACGCTCACTTCAAGTCACTCTTTCCTTTTATTTCTACCCTTCGTGCTGAGGCATAGGGTGTTGCATTCATTGATAAAATGCTTGTAATCAGAGGCTTCAGTTTTCTTTCCCTTCTTTCTGCGGTCCTGGCTTCGTGAGTGACTTGGAATGCAGCATTATTCGCCGTCACAGCATAACTGACCGTTTCCGTAGGGCCCATGGATCGCACCACGAATGGCTGCACAAGCGCTCCAACACCACCCAGACGACCAGTGGAACAGATGTTGAATACGATTATGTCGTGGTTGGCTCAGGTCCTGGAGGTGGTCCATTGGCATCAAGACTCGCAATTGCTGGTCACAAGGTGCTGCTCCTCGATGCCGGAGATGACCAATTCGATGCACCTGTGATCCAGGCCCCTGCCATGCAGCTGCAGTCCACCGAATACGAGGGAACAAAATGGGACTATTTTGTCAACCACTACCAGGACTTGAGTCGCCAGGAGGAGGATACTAAGATGACCTACAAGACCCCATCGGGCGAGCTTCACGTCGGTCCCAACCCGCCCGCCAATTCTGATCCTCTGGGAATCCTGTACCCGCGTGCTGGCACTCTGGGAGGATGCTCGGCTCACAATGCCATGATGTAAGTGTAAACCTTTTAACCGATAGCGATGTGTAAGGCTGGTACTAACGGCTCGCGACTAGTACTATATACCCGTACGAAAAGGACTGGGAGGACCTCGCTTCGATCACCGGTAACGACACCTGGGCTCCGGATGTGATGCGTAAATACTTCGAGAAGCTCGAGCGCAACCGCTACCTCCCCAGCAGCCTGTCTGGGCACGGTTACGATGGCTGGCTCACCACCAGTTTAACACAATTGACGCTCGTTGTCGAGGATCAGAAGCTGCTGTCTCTAGTCATCGCCGCAGCCACGGCTGCTGGAAAGTCTCTCATCGGAAAGCTCCTCACCACCGTAACTGGTCTCGGTGAAGTTCTCCTTCGAGACCTCAATACCGACGCAAAGGGCCGTGACCAAGAAACCGGACCGTACCAAGTTCCCCTCGCCGTCGACGTCCCCGATTACAGGCGTACTGGTCCTCGGGATTTCATCGTGGACACCCAAAAGGCCACTAACTCGGACGGTTCGCGCAAGTACCACCTTGACGTTCAAATGAACACCCTTGTCACCAACCTCCGTTTCGATACCTCTGGTAGCAAGCCCAAGGCCACTGGTGTTGACTACCTCAAGGGTCAAAGCCTTTACAGGGCAGACCCTCGGTCCGATAACGCGACTGCCTCTTCTTCTGGAAGTGTCAATGCTGCTCGTGAAGTTATTCTCGCTGCCGGTGCCTTCAACACTCCCCAGTTGCTAAAGCTGAGCGGTGTTGGACCCAAGCAGGAGTTGGAAAAACTCGGTATCGACACTCTTGTCAACCTTCCCGGCGTTGGCAAGAACTTGCAAGACCGTTACGAGATAAGCGTTATTGGCGAGTCGCCGACCAATTTCACATTGACAGAAAAGTGCACCTTCCTTGCCACTACGCCTGACCCATGCATGGAGCAGTGGCAGAACAATGGAGCGCTTCTCAAGGGCACCTACACCACCAACGGTATTGCAATTGCTGTCACCCGGAACTCCTCGACTAGCGACGGTGACCCGGACCTTCTGGTTTCCGGTGCACCCGCTTACTTCAAGGGATACTACCCCGGATACTCGTATAACGCATTGAAGGAGTCCAACCACTGGGCCTGGATCACCCTCAAGGCACGAGCCCGCAACACCGCCGGTACTGTGGAGCTTCGGTCCAAGGACCCCAGGGACACTCCGGTTATCAACTTCAACTCTTTCGATGCCGGTTCGACCGAGGACGACGCCGATGAGAAGGACCTGCAGGCTGTCATCGAAGGAATGAAGTTCTCGCGGAATATCTTCGACTCCTTGGTCCCGTTGGACGGCGACTTTGATGAAGTCTGGCCTGGCAAGAACGTTTCCACCGACGCAGAATTGAAGGACTTCGCCAAGAAGGAGGCCTGGGGTCACCATGCTTGCTGCACGACTCCTATCGGATCAGACGATGATGACAACGCCGTGCTCGACTCTGATTTCCGTGTCCGTGGTGTCGAGGGTCTGAGAGTGGTGGACGCTTCCGTCTTCCCTAAGATCCCCGGGTACTACATCGCTCTGCCCATCTACATTCTCAGTGAGAAGGCAGCGGATGTGATTATTTCGAGTGCCGCATAAAAAGTTGCCGCTGTTCTTGCGATCCTGATGTGCCATTGTTTTTCTGTTTTATTAGCAAAGCGCCTGCGAACCTTTTTCTTTCCATAGACATTGATATCCTCACTAGTTCAGACATGTAATATATCATTTTGCAGTGCAATCATCGTCTTCTGAAGCATCGTATTTCGGCACCTTCACAGTATTCAACGGGGCAATACTAGGATCAGGAAAGCGTCAGTGAAATTTCCATATCAGCTATAGCCAAGCAAGCGAGACTTCTCTGCTGCCAGATCTCCGTAAGTAGTAGATTCTAGGCGTACTATAGAGCCAGGTAAGTTCTCAAGCTAATGCGTGGGCGCATGTCTTTGTTTGTTGTACCCTAACCGTTAGGATGTGACGAAGAACGCCAAAGCATTATAGCAATCGTGGATGGCTCTAAGAGCATAACGTAGAAGGTATGCTGCGTGAGAGATGGTTAGCTGAGGAGACAGAGTGACGATAGAGAAGGGGGTTTCTGCCTAGGTGCCTGAGTATTTTGGACCGAGGCAAATCACATGCTGACGACCTCGGAAATCATTCTCTAGTCGTACGCTTTGCATGCATTTACAAGGCCTATTGCTGCTCCTGTGAAATGCAGCCCTTAGGTGTTTGTTTGTGTTTGGTGTTAGGACTATATTCATGAGCCCTCCCCAGGGAAATCAGTGCCTTGATGCCTTGGAAGTCTTGGCTATCACGGGAATCCGCCGGCCAAGACTTTTCGAGCTCTTGACCGTTTGTATCCTTCGCTTTTGAACACTGTCACTGCTCAGACAAAATGCCACGCGCAGTTCGAGGTAAGATAACTATCACGTCTCCAGTCTGCTCCTGCTAACCTAACGCGACCAGGAGTTCTGATTGAATGCGATCCTTCCGTGAAAGCGATTATCCTCAAATACGACGAAGAACGACATGACTACATAGTGGAGGACCTGGACGATGACCGCCATCTGGTCATTAAGGAGAGTCAATTGCAAAATCTGAAGATCAGGCTGGGCAAGGTACGAGAGGAAGAACAACGCGCTGGGTTCCTAGCTGATTGGATTGTAGGACCTGGACGACAAGCTTATGCAGCCCGACGAATCGGAATCCGAATAATCACGAGAAGTGCGTTGCCTTCCTCTGTTATCCTGCTACGCCCCTATCTCTGGTCGACATTTCCACTCGAAACGGGACACATTATCTACGGAAGAACTACTCTGTATCGTCTCGAAGAATGCGAAAGCACCCTCCTTTTCCCACCACCGCGGGGCTCGGTCGCAATACAGCTTGAGGGCCATGGAGAGACCAGACGGAGCGCAACAAAACCATATCAGTGGGGAAGTTCAGCTACTATTGCGGAGCAGCCAGGCTAGCGTCTTTTCGGAACAATACGTACTTCGGTTGATATGGATATTCAATGTATCTACGCTGTATGTCATAATGTTTCCGTGACGAAAAACGAGCAACGTCTGCCGACCTAACGGGGCAGAATGATAGGGGCAAGAGTCAGCTGGCCTCCTGGCTCACTTCAACGTTGTTGGGGTTATCAAAGACGCTGTGGTCATGGCCTCAGGGTGTTCGTGGGAGAACTTGCCCACGCCTTGTGTATCATGACCTACAATCTCTAGAACCGGGACTCATTCGGCTTAAGCATGATGTTAGTGTGCCGCACCTCCACGTCCACCGCATACTTCTCGTTTTCCTTTACCGGCTGCACATCGCCGCTAGCGTACTCGCGGGTATGGGAGATAGTCGCGGTGGAGAGGCTAGCTGGCATTGACTTAGCGGAGTGAGACACGCAGCTATCCCTTGACAACGGGAACAAGATCTCCCATGGCGCCGGTGTAAAAGACTTTCTTGCCTTCGGCGTTCAATTTGCGGAGGGTTGAGTCGGGATGGGGTCGCGTCAAGCTGCCGGGGATTGGCAACATTGTCTCCTTTTCACCAGGCCACAAGAGGTTTCTGGATGAGTCTATCCTCATAATGCGATCTCTCGGGCTCTGGGGAATAAGCAGAGTTTACGGGCGATGCTGACAAGACTACGAGCGGAATAGCCATAATCATATTTAATGACGTCATTGCCCAGATTTGAAATCACGTGATATTCATCGAAACGCCGAGAAATGTCCAGCAGTGACGAGCAGCACCCAGCAGGACCGGTGCCGACAGTTCGAGCCCTAACATGATATTTCTAGTGCTTTCGAGTGCTATACAGATGCTACGATCTTAAGTCACGTTTGGCATCATGGCAGGCTCTGGAATGGAGCGTCTCAAGTATATAAGGATGCTCAGCACCGTTCCTAGTTGACCATCAGATTCAGATCAAGCATCTACAAGAACAAACAATCCAAATCTCTCTTGAACCAACCCTACCATCAACAACATCAATCTATACCGCTCAAAAGAGAAACCTCTTTGAACACAAAAATGTCTCTTTTCCACGTGTCTCCTGCCGCAGACTTCGCTCCGTTGTTCAGTCTCTTGGACAACCGTGACCTCCAGCGCACCAACCGCAGTCAATTCTCCTCCATTCGCTCGTTCTCCCCTCGCTTCGACTTCCGTGAGAGCGACGACGCCTACTACCTCGACGGCGAATTGCCCGGCATCTCTCAGGAGAACGTCGACATCGAATTCTCCGACCACCAGACTCTGGTGATCAAGGGCCGCTCCGAGCGTGAAACCCAAGAGACCAACGCCGACGACGCTCCTCAGGACCAAACAGGCCAGGAAGGCCAGAACGAGACCAGCGATGTTGCCAAAACTGGAGGCCAGTCCGTCACCAAGGCCAAGAACAACAAGCACCGCTACTGGGTGAGCGAGCGCTCCATCGGCCAATTCCACCGCGCTTTCTCATTTCCCGGCCGTGTCGATCAGAACAATGTCCGGGCTAGCTTGAAGAACGGTATCCTCTCGGTGGTGGTGCCCAAGGACGTTGTCTCGGGAACGAAGAAGATCACCATCCAGTAAACGAAGGATCTTCCTATTTCGAGGGTACTACGAGTACTTACGAGTTACGCTTGACGACTTACTTATTGCATGCGCTTGCTTGACTTATTTCTGTTGTTTTCTATTTGCTGTTTTCAATGTCTACGTTTCAACATAATCAATCCTAATCATGTATAATACTAGTTATTGCAATTCATTGCTTTATCAATTGCTTTATTAATTCCACGGCTTTCTTATATTCGTAGGTGATAAGCATCATTCCCACGTAGATATATATAAGCTATTTCGGAGTGGCCCCGGACGGCACTCACATTGCTAATAGAAACTCAACTATAAAATCTCTTATTTCTGCCTGTAGGCCTTAGTATCGTCTATTCGAAGCAATGCCTATTATTAGTCCATCAACAAGCATCAGACGAAAATTCGAATGATCATCCTTGGATCGCTTTTTTTGCGCACGACCCACGCGTATTCGTTTTCGAAATTGCCTATTCGGGTAAAGGAGTATACGCGCCCTCATTTTCCCTCACCTTCTACGATGTAGTTAAAAGGCAGAACAACGCACGCTGTTATAGATCCCTAGATTCAGCAGAGTTATCCTATTTTATCTTCTATTCAACTACAATGGACTTCACATTCCATCCAGGAGTAAACGGGTCGGACCCGTGGGTAGAATTCTATCCATACTACCCGTCTCGAGAAGCTGGATATGCCTTTATGGCGCTGTTCGGCCTCTCCACGGTTGCACACTTTGTGCTCATGATTCCCTATAAAGCAGCATACTTTATTCCCATGGTGCTAGGGGGTATATGTGAGTTGCTTGAGAAGTCATCGTCTTCGACAACCAACTGACATAAAGGCAAGGCGAAACATTCGGCTACTACGGCCGCGCCTGGTCCCACGAATCTCGAACCAATATAGGCCCCTGGGCTCTGCAGGAAATGCTCATCATGTGCGCGCCTCCCCTCATCGCAGCGACCATCTACATGTTCCTCGGGCGAGTCATCCGTTCCTTCGACGCCGAGCACCACGCGAGCATCCGGCCTAAATGGCTCACCCCGATCTTCGTCCTCAACGATATCATCACATTCATCACACAGATAGCCGGCGCAGGCGTGCAAGTCACTGGAGATGCGCACGTCATGGACATTGGCAAGAAAGCTACACTGGCAGGGTTGATCTTCTCGCTGATCGTGTTCTGCTTCTTCGTGTTAATCGCAGCCGTGTTTCATCGGCGATGCAATCGGGATCCCACGTCTGTATTGCTTCACAATCCCAATCTGAACTGGAAGCGGTACATGTTGGCGTTGTATATCTCGTGTTTTGCGATTATGCTGCGCAACTTGATCCGGTTGATCCAGTTCGGGTCCGACAAGGAATCCCCGTTGAACACCAAGGAGGCGTTTATCTATGTCTTCGATGCGGTTCCAATGCTCATTTCTGTGGTCATCCTGATGGTGTACCATCCGGGACTATTGATCAAGAGAGCACGGAACGCACAGAAGGGGGAGATGCTGATGGCGGATCAGCACGCGAGCGATGTCCCTTTGACGCAGTATGCAGGGACGCGTGTGTAATTCGTGCTTAACCATTGCTTCTGTTCATGTATTTAGCCGTTCTTGTTTATAGCGAAATAAAAGTGAAACAACATCCAAATCCCAGTCAATGTATACTATCCAGGATTTTCTAATGACTGGATCCGCCTCAAAGGCCACGAAGCCCATTCCTTCCATTCCCACGGCAGGGAGCGCTGGACCCCGTCGATGACATGGCAGTCCCAGCCGCGCATATACCAGACGGGCCTCATGTAGTGAAGTAAAATACTCCAATGTGCAAGTAGCACCAACGCAGGAGGCTGTTTCTCTTGCAAGAGACTAATATACGCTTCAGGGAGGCGATACAGCCAGCCGACAATAATCTGCATCAGACCGACTCTTTCCCGATGCGCACTCATCTTCACGTACACATCCTCAAATGTCTGCATCAGGCTGTCAACAAGAGAAACGCACATGTCACCCTGGACAAAATCAGCACTCCTCTGGCGCACCAGCTGTCGGACCTCTAGAAGCTGCCGCTGGTCACCTTGCCAGATCTCCAGCCATTCCGCGCTGATATAGCGCTGTTTCATCATCTCCTGATCCGCATTGGGCGGCACCATGACTCCCTTGAAAATATGTTGACGCCGCGTTGAGACAATGAGCCGGACGCCGCGCAGAAGGACCAGCCATTCTGCCTGACCGGCGTCACTGAACACAAGGTATTCCCCCGGTAGCGGCCCGCGTGCAAAGTAGACAAAGCAGATAAGGATAGCAGCGATGTAGATGGGCTGCGCATTCTCCGGCGTCAATTCGAACTGGGAGAGAATCGAGGTAACAGTGCTGACACCAAAAGTGAAATGCTGATCCGCCTGCGCGATATACCGATTGCGCAGTTCCGGAGCCGACGCCGGTTGTTGATGGCCACGATGAAGAGCCGAGAAAGCCAAAAGGAGGTGCAGGATGGACGAATAAGTCATGCTCCACTGGGGAACATGGACCTGCCACAGTTCCCAGCCGTGAGTATCCTCAGCAACGGTGCGGTAAGTCGCGGTGACAAAATGGTGGAATAACTGGAGGTCGGGCAGCGACAGGCCATCCGGGCGAATAGAAGGATCGTCACACTGAACCCCGGTCGAGGCCGTGGATGTCTCACTAACGGGCATACTAGTGCGACTCAAATGGGACTGGTATCGCGACGCTCTGAACCGAAATTTCGAGGCAGGGCGCCGTTGTGGCTCATCGGGATCGGAGGTGGCCGGAGAAGGTGAGGCTGGGAGGGACGCAGTAAAGTCACAGGAGATGCCATGGTGCTGGCAATTGGAGCAGGCCGGTTTCTTCTCATCGCACTAGATCCGCAGTCGCCACCGTCAGCCACAACTACATCCTCCCATGCGCCTATGCAGGCAGGGACTCACCTTGATACGGCGTTTCTTGCAGTTGCGGCAACCCAGTCGTGATTTGTGATGTGTGCGCCGGGACCGGACAGAATTGTGCTCCATTGAATAATCAGTTGTCGGAGAAAAAGTAACGGTGTAAGGCGAAGATTTGAGACTCCATGGAAGTGGAATTATCGAAGCATTGACGGCACTATTGAATAGCGGAGGCGTTATTGCCTCAGGCAGATGATCGACTCCTATTCCGCGATCGATACGGAGTACTCGATCACAAGTACGGAGTACCGAGTACTGCTCTTGTGAACATCGCGCCCTAACAGGTGAATGATATCATGCCACCTGCAGTTGCTATAAAAAACCTCGTATGAATCATTTCCCCGGTACTTACATCGAATACTGGCCGGAAGAGGCTTTGCAGCAGAAACTGTTCCAATCAGGCCCACGGAAAGCCCAGGAGCTAGCCGGAGATGCTTCCACATAGAGATATAGCACGCCGGTTGAGTTCCGTGGGGCATGTCTTGGATCGGGGAAGCTTCGGAAGCCTTGTTGGACCTTGATATCAGTCCGGCAAAAGTATATAAAGTGTCTTTCACCAGCAGGAGAACAACAGCAACAACCAGCTCTCAATTCTCAATTACATCTACTCCTTTGTCGTCAGACAGCTTCAATTCACAACCATCACAATGAAGTTCACCATCGCTGCTGCTGCCACTCTCTTCACGGCTTTTACTGCCGCTCTCCCCGAGGCCTTCACCCTCGTCGCTGATGGCGGCAAGACCGTTCTGACGGATGGCCGTAAGCCTTCCATGATCGTCGATCGTCGAATTCCAGAAAACTAACAAAACTCCAGAGAAGCTCCTCATCGGCGCTGACCCCGCCTCGCACGAGATCCTCATCCGTATGTTTCCGCACATCCCTCCCGTCCCAGTATGATCTGTCACTAACAACACATAGTCCGTGGCTCCAACGAGACCACCGGCGTCAGCTTCACCTCCAAGGACCAGACCCCCACCGGCTTCCAGACCCTGTACGTCGTCGACGGCCAGGTCGCCCCTGTCGCTCTGACCCTTCCTCACTCGGGCGCTACCCCCGAGGGTGCCAGCCTCGACGGCTTCGGTACCGACAAGGACGGCTACTTCACCCACGACGGCAAGAACTACTTCGGCATCGAGGGCTACGGCGACAACCCGGAGCGCACCATCAACTGGGTTGACGGCCACTCTAGCACCCAGCGTGTGGTTAACCTCTGGGTTAAGGAGTGCAAGGGTTGCTAAAGAGTTACTGTTTGAACCTGTACAGTGTGTATAGCATTGCGTCTTTGTTCTTTGAGTTTGTGCAAACTTAATCCGTTGTCTATAATTGAGTCTTGTATCATAGACTAAATCTAATATGACCGCTTGACGGCAGAGTCAACAATCATCCACTGGAGAGTACAGAGTAGCTCGGGGTGATGGCGGAAAGGCCACAGAACTTCGTGGCCTTTGGTGTTCCTTTTCGTGACATTAAACAGGCTAAGCGCAACCATCCAGCATCTGCATCCAATGTTCCCTATACTTTATCAGAAAGTGCTTTTATCGTGGGGTTTCTCCCAGGAAAAGGGTGATATAAACCCCCAAGTACTGAATCCAAATGTTCGTTTTATTTTCCTCTCTAAGCAGACCCAACCCTTCTCTCTTTCCGGATTTTTCAATCTCGATCAATCAAAATGACTGAGATCAGAACTAGAATCCGCACCAGACATGGTACCAAATACCAGACTGAAAGCAGTGGTAGTTGTTGCTATTTAATGCCAGGTTTTGGGGTCCCTGGGGACTTGATGGACAGGAAAATGGAGCGGTGCCAAGCGGCAAGGGGACGCTATACCGCTCCTAGTAATTCACAGTCACCCAGGTGTCGAAGCAGTCTGTAGTCGATGTTTATCGTAGATTAATATTATGCTCAATCTTATGCTCGATTCATTTTATGCACATTATTGACACCTGAGGTATGTATTTAGACACCTCGGGCAGTAGGTCCTAGCCGAGCCGAGGCACATGAGACCGACCATCGACTTAAACAGCATCGCTTCGTTGTAGACAACAATCTTAGATTTGCATACATTTGTTCTTAAGACGCTGTTATATACTCAATCTCGTTCATACTGTTACAACACTAAGTGCTACAATCAATAATTCCAACATGGCAGACTACTCTTACAAGTACTACAACATCACCTTCCCCCAGCAATATGTCGCCCACGTCGAGATCAACCGGGCCGACAAGATGAATGCCTTTTTCGAAGCGTGTGTCCCCCTATCCGTCTGACATAACAGTATGTTGACGATTGCAGCATGTGGATCGAACTATCCCAAGTCTTCGCCAACCTCTCGCAAGACCCCTCTGTCCGCGCCATCGTCCTCAGCGGCGCCGGTGACAAAGCATTCACAGCCGGGCTAGACGTCAAAGCCGCGTCCGAGGGCTTCTTAATGGACAAGGACGCAGACAACGATCCCGCCCGCAAAGCCGCCGCTCTACGCCGCCACATCTCTCCATTTCAGGACTGCATCAGCGCGGTTGAGCGCTGCGAGAAACCTGTTATCGTGGCTATGCATGGATTCTCGTTGGGCCTAGCCATCGACCTCTCTACTGCAGCGGATGTGCGGGTATGCGCACGCGATGCACGATTCGCGGTTAAGGAGGTTGATATCGGCATTGCGGCGGATATCGGAACGCTGAGCCGGTTGCCCAAGGTTGTTGGAAACTTTGGATGGGTGAAGGAAGTTGCATTGTCGGCGCGAATTTTTGGAGCGGATGAGGCGCTGCGTGTGGGGTTTGTCAGTTCCGTGTATGATTCGAAGCAGGATGCTGTTCGGGGGGCGGTGGACTTGGCAACGTTGATGGCTAGTAAGAGTCCAGTTGCGGTGCAGGGGACGAAGGAGATATTGAATTGGTCGAGGGACCATTCGGTGCAGGATGGTACGTTTCCTTTACCTTCGTTACGACATGTTCGGTTACTGACCGATCTAGGCCTGCGGTATACATCAGTCTGGAACAGCGCTGCTCTACAGACCAAAGATGTATCTTCAGCACTACTGTCAGGAATCCAGAAACGGACGCCAACGTTTGAGAAGTTGTGATCTCTCTGATTCTAGTTTATTAGGCTCTTTCCTCACAGAGTATAGCACACCAGCCCGTCCACTAACAGCATCTTGTACATAAGAATAGAACAGTCTATGTGAATCTCGGCACGTGGGATCCGTCCCAGATCTCATCAATATATATCCAATTTCAAATAAACTCAATAGACTCTTGTCACCGGGTCAGTGACAGTAGCCAGCGACCCACCGACGTCTCACCTACCCTGACACACAATTCTGAAACTCCGCTAACCCGAGCCCGCTTGTCAGTGTTTCGAGACAGACGATCCTACGCTGATGTCTGTGCGTGAGGAGTATGCATGCATGCTGTATATTGCATAGTATAGAGAATAGGCCGGTGTATAGCCTTTTAACCGCTGCTAATGCTGACTGCGAAGTATAGAGTATAGAAGTATAAAGAGGGGTACCTGCATGTGCCCTTCACTTTTCTGTACCCGTATCATTCTTTCTGAATTCATCGTCTGAAAATGAAGTCTACTGCGTTCTTTCTCTCTCTCCTCCCCTCAACCCTAGGGGCAACCATCTACCTCGCCGGCGACTCAACCATGGCCGCCGGGGGAGGCGGGTCAGGGACCGACGGTACGCCTCTACACATACATCTAAACACAAACATCCATAGCTAACAGACAACAGGCTGGGGCGAATACATCTCGTCCTCCATATCTGGCACAGTCTCCAACAAAGCCATCGGCGGCCGCAGCGCCCGCTCCTACACGCGCGAAGGCCACTTCGAAGAAATCGCATCCTCCCTCCAATCCGGCGACTACGTGGTGATCGAATTCGGGCACAACGACGGCGGCTCGTTGTCCAGCTCTGACAACGGCCGCACCGACTGCGGCGGTACAGGAGACGAGACCTGTCAAACCGAGTACGACGGACAATCCGAAACAGTCCTCACGTTCCCAGCGTACCTAGAGAACGCAGCGAAGCTATTCCAGGACAAGGGCGCTACCGTGGTGATATCGAGCCAGACGCCGAATAACCCGTGGGAGACAGGGGAGTTTGTGTACGAGGGAACGCGGTTCGTCGAGTATGCCAAGTTGGCTGCTGATACTGCTGGCGTGGAGTATGTTGATCACGGGGCGTATGTGGCTAGTATCTTTGAGTCGCTCGGGGAGAATACGGTTAATGAGTTCTTTCCTAATGACCATACGCATACGAGTGTGGAGGGGGCGGAGGTCGTTGCTGAGGCGTTCTTGAAGGGTGTGGTGTGCAGTGGTGTTTCGTTGAAGGATGTGTTGAGCACGACGGACTTTGATGGAGAGTGTCTGTAATGGCTTTGTCTATTAGGAAAGAGACCCGCATATGGAGTAATAAAACTTCTGCACAAATGTCGCAATACAACAAGATCGAAACAGTCATATCATCGTATCTCGTCCCTCGTCAGTCATGCATAAATTCCCGAAAGCAATTACTCTTCCAGAACCGCCTTGACCAGCCCGCGCTTCTCCACTCGGTTATAGTAGTGACGCAGATTGGAGAACCGGCCGGGTAATTTGCTTCTAGTTTGTACGATTTCCCACAGGACGGGCCAGAGGGAGCAGTCGTCGACGGTGAAAATACTTCCTCCCAGATAGTGTTTGCCATCCAGTGCCATTTCCCATGGCCGCAAAGCGTCGAGTGAATCTGTAGGATCACGGTGCTGTCGCCAGCTCGTCAACAGTTTTTCAATCTCGCGCAGATGAGCCCCTCCTTGCAATCGTTCTATTCCTGGACGCAGCGCTTCAAGATGAGCCTGCTGCACGAAGTAATTCATGATCTCAACATCACCAGCGATAATGGTGTCATCCATTCCGATGTAGACTGGCCGCTTGTCACTTGGCTTGATAGATGCTTGTTCAGTAGTCACCACATCATAACGTAGACTGCTCTCGCTCAAACACAGTCGGACTCGAAGATTCGCTACCGGATCATGTCCTGGGATCACTTGCGCAGTCGATGCGGTGACAAAGTTGACCACATCAAATCCACTGCCATAAAAACCGTCCCAGTCGAACCCGGTAGCATGATTCTCCTGGCCGAAAGCGCGGATCAGTCGCTCCGTCTCGGCTACGTCACCGTGTATTACTGGTCTTGCTTGGCCTTGTTCCTTAGACACAGCGCCCTGGCCCCAGATGGTATCGCCCGTTGGGTTTAGGAACGTCCCGATGTGTCGGAACGTTAATGAGATACGTTCGCCGCCGTATGCCCGCTCTTCAGTGGACTTCTCCGACTCAGGACGCTTATCCGGACGAATGCCGTGTAGCCAGCGCATATTTGTTTTTTGGCCCAGAATGAACAGAGACTCGTGTGGCAGAGGAATGCGCTGCGACTGCTTGGTCGAATCTTCTTCGGCAGTCTTCGTGCGAAGGACCATGACACGCTGAGCACCCAAGCTGACATTACAGATGTACGAATCACGGGCAATGTCCAGCGTCTTGTCAGAGTGCTCTGAGATGCGATCCTGGCCATCTCGGTACAGCTGGATCAGGACGTGATTCAGTGGGTGGCCCAGAATCTGCTCAACAATGGCACGAATCCGATCGACCATCTCCGTAAATGGATGCAAAGGTGGTGATTCGTCGGCTGGATGACGGTAGATCGGAATCGACCCATCAACCTGTGCCCTTCCCTGGACAGCTACCAGTCGTGGGACCTGGCCTGACATATGGTACATTTTCTGCCATGCCACCTCGCGTCGAATTTTTTCAAACGCATCTGACGGCAAGTCCAAGTCATGGACAATGCGAGAATCGCCCTCTCCGATCACATCGCCTGGTCCGCGGAGGTCCTGGGATTGCTTCGATCTGCGCACACGTCGAGCATCAGATCGTGAACTGGTCTCTGGCTTCTCATCTGGCCGTCTAACCCGGCGCACTCTTGGGCGTACCTTCTTATCCGCATGTTCTCGGGGTGGACCATAACGATCCTTAGCGCGGGCGATCTTGAGGCCCGGTTTCTCATCCTCCTCGTCGTTCACACCATCAGGCTCATGGCCATCCGTAGCCCGAAAATCAAAGTTATCCAGAACATCTTCTATGCCTGTAGATCTAGCCGGTCGTGGCTTGGAATCTCCCTTTTCGGCAATGCGATCCGTTTTCTGCCAGTCGAGTTCTTGCATGAGTTCCCTAGATGTTATGCCGTTTGCACCAAAGATATCAGCCATGCGCCTCATTGCTTCTTCGTGTCGCTCGAAACTGCGAAAGCCCAAACAGTCTTCAACTAAAGTAACAGAAAAACCCAAGCTAGCAGCGTCGAGAACAGTCGCGTAGACGGATACGTTGGACAAAGAACCGCAGATGTAGATTTCTGTGATGAGTTGGGAGCGAAGAGTCAGAACAAGTCGGTCGTTGCGCAAAGCAGAATAGTCGGATTTGGTGGTCAGAATGTCATGCTGTGAGTCAAAGGCAGCTACAATCGGCGCAGGCAGTTGTCCCCCCGGACTGTGAGAATCGCCGCATCGAGAAGATTCCGCGGATAGAAAGGCTTCTTCGTCATTCTGTTCGTTGCCTGTATGACTCTTCTTTTTGCTGTGGTCTTCCCCGCGACCTAGCACCACCAGGCCCTGCTCATTCGCGTCGACCAGCTCGCAACGAGTCTCATAGTACGATTGTATCCAAAATACGCTTCCCGTAGAACGAAAGGCACTGGCGAGATGAGGCAGAGTATCGAGAAATTCGGCGGTGTTGGGGACATATAAAGCCCCAGAGGGACGAACAAAGTCGTTTTGGAAGTCGAGTAGGAGGAGGGCTTTTCGGGTCTGGACGGTAGGGGCACCGCCAAAAGCAGCGAAGAAGTTCATCGTCGCATTGTCTTAGAAATTAGCTGGAGTTGTGGTGGTCGTGTAGAGAAAAGTGGTGGAACAATGTCCCGTATTTCTGCCTGAGAAACAAGGCATGAACAACGGCCAGCAACGGTGACAGCGTCATGACCACATTTGATACAATACTGCGCTACTCTCCGTACAAAGACTACTTTATATACTCGTGCCTCGGTGCCTTTGTACAATGCTACATTTAATAGCATAATTACTTACACTCCTTCATAAACGAACACAATTCTAGACTTAACTCTCCCCGAAGACTGGCCAATCACAATGCCTCTCCGACATCGGCCGGGGAGCAGCAGCCCAACTCCGGTCACGTGCAACCCCAGTGACGGGCAGCCCGCGTATAAGAAAAGGCCCAACCTAATCCTCTTTTCACTTTTTTTCTTTCTTCTCTCACTCAATTGAACTCTCCTCTCTACTTCAACTCTCCCCTCTCACTCTACAACCCTCACAATGGCTTCTCGTGGTCTTCCCCGTGCCCTCCGCTGCGCCCGTGTGGCTGCCCCTCGCTCCGTCCTCTCCTCCGCCCTCCCTCGTCCCGCTCTCGCTAAGGCTGCTGCTGCTGCCGTCCCTCGCATGGCCATTAACCAGCAGCCCATCCGTGGTCTCAAGTCCATTACCTTTGCCGACTCGACCGAGACCGTCTACGAGCGTGAGGACTGGCCCCGCGAGAAGCTCCAGGAATTCTTCAAGAACGACACTCTTGCTCTGATCGGTTATGGCTCTCAGGGTCACGGTCAGGGTCTGAACCTGCGTGACCAGGGTCTCAATGTCATTGTTGGTGTGCGGAAGGACGGTGCTTCGTGGAAGGAGGCCGTCCAGGATGGCTGGGTTCCCGGCAAGAATCTGTTCGATGTCGACACTGCCGTCGAGAAGGGTACCGTTGTCATGAACCTGCTCTCCGACGCCGCCCAGAGTGAGACCTGGCCCGCTCTTAAGCCCAAGATCACCAAGGGCAAGACCCTTTACTTCTCCCACGGTTTCTCCCCCGTCTTCAAGGACCTCACCAAGGTCGATGTCCCCGAGGATGTCGATGTCATCCTCGTCGCCCCCAAGGGTTCCGGCCGTACCGTCCGCACTCTCTTCCGTGAGGGCCGTGGTATCAACTCCTCCATCGCTGTCTTCCAGGACGTCACCGGCCAGGCCAAGGAGAAGGCCATCGCCATGGGTGTTGCCGTCGGTTCCGGCTACCTCTACGAGACCACCTTCCAGAAGGAGGTCTACTCCGACCTCTACGGTGAGCGTGGATGCCTGATGGGTGGTATCCACGGTATGTTCCTCGCTCAGTACGAGGTTCTCCGTGAGCGTGGTCACTCTCCCTCCGAGGCCTTTAACGAGACCGTCGAGGAGGCCACCCAGTCGCTGTACCCCTTGATTGGTGGTAACGGTATGGACTGGATGTACGCCGCCTGCTCGACCACCGCCCGCCGCGGTGCTATCGACTGGTCTAGCCGCTTCCGTGACAACCTCAAGCCTCTCTTCAACGAGCTCTACGACCGTGTCCAGGACGGTACCGAGACCCAGCGCTCGCTCGACTACAACTCGCAGAAGGACTACCGTGAGAAGTACGAGAAGGAGATGCAGGAGATCCGGGATCTCGAGATCTGGCGTGCCGGCAAGGCCGTCCGTTCCCTCCGCCCTGAGAACCAGAAATAAATAATGTAATGATAGGATGGGAAAAGTTACGAATTTACTATAATTCAATATTAATTGGTTGTTCTT